AACATAAGTTTAGCAAGGACAGTTGTGAAAACAATACATTAAAATGAGAACAATGAATTCAAGATCAAGAAACAGAAATGTTGTCCCCTGCATATCTGAAATTATCTTTACTCCATATTTACCATATTTGAGTTGCATTTCTGCTACACTTAGAGGAATTTTATGAAAATTGTATCAATTATTACTATTTTGCTGATCTGAATCAATTTGGCCTTGATATTTTGTATTGGTGTTGCAAATGCCAGAAGTAATTTTACCGACCAAATATTAGGATGATGAGAATAATATCTTAAGTGAAAAGAGTGGTTGTGTCTTCCCTTATAGGAGCTTTCAGTGATGGACCACTTCCCTTAATATTAGCACCACATTTGGAGTTTTCCTCCTGGATAGTCAAGAGATATCAACTTTTGAAACCATCTAGGAGTGCGTGAGTTCCTTAAAGAGCTTGTGGTTCCCTAGCCAAGGCCCACCTCTACTCCTTCAATTTTAAGTCTCTCAATTTTAACTAATCATACTGGTCCAAATTAACATTTTCACATGGGAGATGGCATTCCTGATATCTCAATAACCTCTAAGGGAGAATATGATAGACAATAATAAGTATCCGGGGAAAGTGAAATAAATATTGTATGTTTAATTAAAAGTGTAAAAACAAAGCCAAATGTGGGATGGCTTATACGCATTTATAGTTATAGATATTAAATAGACCCACTTTAAACTTAATCTTTTGGAACTGATTAATAATGAGAACTCTAGGTACAACATATGTCGAGGGCATCAAAGTTCCATATGTTTATGCTATTTAAAATATACTCAAATTAATGACTCTTAATTTTGACTGGTAGGGCATTCTGTAACTTAAAAAATGAAAACAAAAACATAGAAAGTCAACATCCCTAATTCATAGCAATTGGTCATGAAGGTATAAATAATTATCTAAACAAATACAAGTTTTATTAATTTGCTTTATTAATGTACAAAATGTGTACTCTACTTTTCCTTTATTTTACTAAAGTTGCACTGAATTCAGCAGAATTCACAAGTGGTAATAGAATCATAGTCTTAATTAACAATAAAGCAAATAAGGAAGAATGCAACATTTAAGTATCTTCTAGATTAATTATTCAATTAGCAAGAGTCCATATTTTTAGGTTTGATTCTGAAATGTTATAATGGGAAAGTATTAAAGATTACTTTTTAACAGTGACTGACAGTTTGCATTTCTTAAGGTGAAAAAGATCTAATTCTTTCAATATATAAAATTATATTGAAATGCATTATGTGGATAATATGTATTATCTAAATGTACTCAATCAATCTATTCAAAGACAATTTAATGAGTGATCTTTTCAATAAATAATTCCTAAAAAGCAGTATTTTATGCACAATTATTTATAAAAGCTCATGATGCAATGTTTATTATTACTTTTGTATACCATTTAAAAATCAAAACTTATAGCAGCTCACAACAATATAAATATCCACAGTAGAAAAATGAATATTTTCAATCATAGTCACACAATATAAATGTACAATTAAAACAGAAATAGAAATTCTAATATAAAAGTATATAAAACATAAAGTGTGCAATCATACCCCTTAGGTCCGTTGGCAAAGTTGGGTCTTTGATAACTTTTTGATAAATGTCATCAAAATGGCCAGTCTATGTACTAGAGCAGGGGTCTCAAACTCGCAGCCCACAGGACAGATGCATCACATGTTGGCCATGCCCACCCACCCCCACCCCCGTTTACCAAGGGTGGGGGGAAGTCACGATACATCACGTGATGACGTGACAACTCGAGTTTGACACCTGTGTTCTAGAGGGAAAATATTCCAAATACTGAAATCCACCCGCATTTCTGGAGCAACTCCATTTTAAACATGGAATTATGTAAGAATGTTTTAGTAGCCAAATAAAGAATAAAATGAAGATCTTGATCCGGTCAGTTTTAGGAGTGCAAGTATTTTGGATTTTGAGAAATTCTGGAGAAAAAAAAGCCCAATAATTTTTAAAATACTATTTTTATGTGGTTTTGGATATTTAAGTTATGTGCTCAACAATCTGTAATATGTATTTGCTGATGCTTTGGAACAGAACAAGTCTGGGCAAATCTCATAGTAGCCCTGCTGAGTCAGACCAAAGGTCATGCTTACAAAAAACCAAAGAAATACCTGTGGAGCCTACACAGAGGAAACCTTTTGTTTTTCAGGACTATTCTATCAGAAGGTAGAATATTGCTTTTGTAGTAGTAGGCACTAATAACTTTATCATCTAGGAATACACCATGTCCCTTCTTAAAGCTCAAAGCTATCTAAAGCTGTCATGGCTTCAGAAATTGATCAAGATAAAGGTTGTGTATGCTCCCTACTCATGACACATGATTTTATTTTATTTTTGTTTTCAAGTCAGTCTTGACTCCTGGCAACTGCCTGGACATGTCCCTGTAGTTTTCTTGGCAAAATTTCGAAAGTAGTTTGCCACTATCTGTTTCCTAGTACAGAGGGTGAATCTGTGATCCAAGATCCACCAGCTGACTTCATGCAAAAGATGGAACTAGAACTAGCAGTCTCCCACTTTCTTAACCACTACACCAAATTGTTTTTCTGATTATTTTATACATTTTTTTACAGAACTTATTTTGTTTGAATGTAGTGCCATGTTTGTTGTGTGAAAACTTTTTGCTCAGTTCCCCTTCCCATTTTTAAAAATTATGGTGAACCCCAGAGTTTTTATATGTCTGGATTATATTTATCAATATTTAGTGTATTAAAAATTAAAATCAAAACATTAATCATGTTAGTTTATTTAATCATATAAAATATTAAACCAACTGGATATTAATGTGTTTTTTCCATATCTTATATTTTTAAGAAGTAAAAATGAGAAGTTATATTGTTTTGAATTTTTGCAAATATCTTCAATATCTGGAAAATAGTCTTCATTTCATGAATCCCTAAGAGGTCTCAAGTAACACAAAGAGTTTTCAAATCATACTTTAAGCAACACTGATGTATACCGACAATACAATTCCAACATATCAAGGATAAAATTGTATGTCTCCTTTGTATTATTGCATTTCCCTATTGTATTGAGAGGTTCAGGATCTCAGAGAAAAAGTGAACATTGCCACCTATTTGAGAAGACCAATGTAAGGTGCAGTAGCAAAAAAAGTACCCCCTTGTTTAGCAGGATCATTGCCCCAGACAGATTTCCCTTTTATTCAGAAGCAGAGACACTTGGCTTCAGGTGCTCCTGTCGCCTCCTTCCCTTCGAAGGCAAAGCCAATTCTTTTAAAAACGACACCCTACTACCGGTACGACAAAGCCTCCCCTGCCCGAGAGGGCAGCCCAACCCCACCTGGGGATGTGAATCTCCCAGGGCCTCAGTGCAGGATCGGCCACCCCGGGAGAAGCGCCCAGCCACCATCCCTGCCTGGCGCCGGGCAGAGCGCGAAGAGCTTTGCCTGGGGTGCCCAGCGCAGCTGACAGGCGGGCCCTCCTGCCCGGCAGCAAAGCTCTGGCCAAGGCAGCGAGCGCCTCCCCGCCAGGCCCTCCGCTCATCCTGCCAGGGCCACGCCAGAGCCGTGCGGGCTGGGCAGACCCAGGAAAGCGGGTTGCGGGTGCGTACCCGCCTGCCAAGTGAAAGAGCTGGGCTGACCTGAGTTTGGCTTCCTTCCCAAGTTCCTCCAGCCAGAACCCTAAGGGGCCACCAGGAGAGGCCGCCCAAGGCAGTGATAGCGCCCACCCATCCACGGACAGGGAGGCGAGGCGACGGCAGCACTGCTTCCCTGGCCGGCGGGTCCAGTGGAGACAGCCCGAAGCCGCTCGTCCTTTCCACCCCTCACCCAGCCCGTCCCCATCCTCACGCATCTCCAAATGTGACAGCAGCTCTAAACGCTGCAGCGGCACGGGCATCAGGCAAAGGCACTGACTCGGCGGGGCTCAGCTCGGATGACGCAGCGCAGGCCAACGCCTTGCCTCCCTGTCCACGGATGGGTGGGCGCTATCACTGCCTCGGGTGGCCTCTCCCGGTGGCCCCTTCAGGTTCAGGCTGGAGGGACTTGGGAAGGAAGCCAAGCTCGGGTCGGCCCGGCTCTTTCGCTTGGCAGGCGGGCGCGCACCCGCAGCTCGCTTTCCTGGGTCTGCCCAGCCTGCACGGCTCTGGCGTGGCCCTGGTGGGATGAGCGGAGGGCCTGGCGGGGAGGCGCTCGCTGCCTTGGCCAGACCTCTAATGCTGGGACTTCCTATTGGGGGAGGCCGTATTGTTGGAGAAACATGGTACCTATTATCTTGTAAGCAATTGACAAACCAAATAAAATAAAATAAAAATAAATATTCTGAGAGTGCCTGGGTTTTATAACCTTTGTTGGGATTTGAATTGAAGCTTGTATTCTGATTGGTTGTCAGACTCCCATGGGGCCATGCAGGGACAACTCTGTAGGCTGTCCTGAGTTCCAGGCTTGGTTGAGCCTTGCTGGATGAAGCACTGAAAGGGCTTTTGAGCAATTGGTATGGTTTTACCTGGAGATCTTTGTAATGTAAAGTATTCTGGCCCAGGCCTTAATGGCCCATCCATTAATAAAGGTGGGGGTGAGCTTCTGCTTCTGAGGTGTTTCTACTCTTGAGTTTCTACTATTTTTAGGGGAAATATTCTGCCTTTTTATTATTCCCTAGGATAGTTCAATGTTCTAGGAGATGATTGAGTGCTAATTTCCAACAATGGAAAAAGACGGAGTAAACGTGCATCGGTTTTTATGTTTATGTATGGACCAAAAAATAATCGAACTCAAACCTAGCTGATAGGGTGGCTGCTTTACTATAAACCTTGTGCAGTTTTTTTAAATTAAACCCGCGGAATGCAATGCAATGCAGGAAGTCTGCAGTAGCAGATGATCCCCTCCCTCCCCGCTTTCAAACATGAAGCATAGCGCGAGGCAGGTACTGAGGGAACAAAGGGGGTCCCTTCCGTAGAAAGCCGCTTGTTCGGCCTGGCTGGGGGAAGACAGCGCGAGCGTCAGCAGGCCCAGCTGGGGGCGCCACGTAGGCCTCCCGCGCAACCGCAGCCAGGAAGCGGCTCCTGCCGCCGCATAAAAAAGAAAGCAGCTTCGAGCGCCTTGGTTCGAAATGGCGACGCGTGGCGTGAAATTTGGCCTCCGCTTTCAGGAGGAAGCGGTTTGCTTTCGTTAAACTCAAAAAGGCGCGTACGGAAACGGGCGAGGGGGGCCGAGCGAAAGGGAAGGAAGCTTGGGAGTTGGCGGGAAGAAGGATTTCTGGCCTAGATTCTGCGGAAGGCGCGTTCAGCTGGGAGGGATCGTTGGGAAAAGAGCGGCGGATTCTCTCCGTTCTGTCTGGTCCCTCCCACCTTCTTAACTCAGCGCCTCTCAACAGTCATGTTCTGACATGCCGGGCTGTTCTGTTTGGAGGAGTGAAGCCCAGACATGCCCGGAAAAGAGGTCGCGGGGCCGCTATTTATGCTCGGCCCTTGCCAGGCAGTTGAGACTTGAGTAGCTGTACGGTAAGGTCATCGAGGTGCTTTTTTGGGTTTTGCTGCCCTGTCGCCTAATGCACCGCCTCTTCTTATTTAGTTTTATTTATTTTTTCTTTCCTCCCTAGCAGGCAAATGTGCAAGACTAAAATGGCTTCCGCGACCAACCCGACTGCGGCTGGCTCAGCTGCCGTTGGCCGTTCGGATCAAGAAAACCTGGTAAGCGTATGAGGCGGCGCTGAGGCCCTTCCGAGGCGGTTGCATTTTCCAGAGGCCCCTGTTGAACGTCCTGCCGACAGGACAATAGGAAGGAGAGGGCGGATTGTTTGTGTTATTAGCTATTTTGTGTGTACGCACCCCAAACTAGGACGAGGGTTCTTTAAACCCTGGCGAGGGGGAAAGAAGATGGTTGAAGTAGGAGGGTCACACGTTTTAAATTTTAAACCATGGTTTAGGATTGCAATGAGGGATTCCGTCAGCATTCTGAGATCAGCAAATGACAGGTTGGTTTAGCCAATGTGGGAATGCTGCTAATACGTTTTTTTATAAATTGGAGAACTCTGACTCACTAAATTGTTCAAAATCCTTTGCAGTGTCTTAGTTTAGAAATTCAGAAAAAAGCTAATGTTAATTTGCTTGGGGAAAATCCATTGCACATAAAGAACATGTTTTTCTGTAGTTATGCCTGAGATTATTGTTTACATGAAACCAAAGATCCAGTGAAAAAGCTATAAAATGTGCTGGGAAGTTCAGGCTAATGAAATTTCTGGGCATAAATTTATCTGGTGCAAGGTGGAATCTGTCACTTGGAAAGATAAAAGATTGCTAAGTGGAATTGCAGTAATACTCTTTGAGATGGTAAGGCATTTTTGAGGCAAAGTGAAGATCACTTAAAATTTTATCCTCATTTGGAGACAGGCTGAAGATACTTTGAATGGGTTACTCACTTTGTGGTGAACTGTAATTTAGCCTGGATATAAGAATATTATGCAAACCTCACCTATCTATCTGTGGGTTGGTAGAGGGATGCTTTCAACTTCAGGGGTGAAGACTGGCTGGCTAAAAGTCACGCAGGCAGTTTCCATTTTTAAAGGAAAACTAAAACTTAGGTCACATTTGTCATTAAAGTATCTTTTCTTTTATGTATACTGAGAGTATTTGCACCAAGACAAATTCCTTGTGTGTCCAATCACACTTGGCCAATAAAGAATTCTATTCTAAAAAAAAGTGGAATATGTACATATGAAAATATTGTATTTGCATTGATCAGCTGCATTCAAAGCATTTTCAAATAGTGGCAGCAAAGTATCAGAGAAGCCCCAACATTCCTTTGGGCATCAGAATAAGATTTCAGTTGGTTATCAAGACCCATGTGTGAGTGTTTTTCATTTTATAGTTTAAAGCTGTTCTGTTATTTAGTTTTGGTTATGTTATTACATTTTATGTGAATATATAAATACGTTAAGAGCCAGTTTCAGCCCATTTTATAAGAAGTAAGCAGAATATAAGATTTTAAATAAAATAGCATTCTCTGTTATTAGGACATGATCTTGGGGAATGATAGAAACAAGTTTTAGGAAATTGTGCTTTTTCCCCCTTCTGCTTTTAAATACAAGCCTTTTTGAGGTTGACCTCAGAGAGATTTGCTATTGTTGAGCATATTAAAAACTTCAGAGCTAGGTTAGTTTTTGAAACATTTCCCATATTTTGAACAAGACATAACTAAACAAACTGCATCTTTCTTTATATTTTCAGATTAAACCCAAACCACTGCTTATGAAACTTCTACAGTTTGCTGGTGCAGAAAAGGATACTTTTACCATGAAGGAGGTAAATAGATTCATTGCAGTCAACATAGGAAGTGAAAATGATTTAGGGATTTATTTCTCATACACTGAACAACATGCTTATTTAACAGTAATGTGGCTGAAGAGTGAAGACCTACTACACAGCTGAGATGGTGGGTGGTGACTTTATGTATGAGAGCAAAGGCAAGACCCATATTCTGTATTCCAAAGTTGCCCATTTTCAAAGAATTATTTTCTACATTGAATATTTCTAATTTCATTAGAAATAATTCATTAATTTCTCATTTTAAAAATAAACTTATTAGATTTTAAGATAAATGGAAACTTAACAAAAATAGTTAAACTCAAAAATGAAAAAGAGGGGAGAAAAGGATGAAAAGGAAAGCAATATCAAAAATGTAGAAATAAGATTTCTACATTTATTATTTATTTTTAGTTCCTTTTTATTTCTACACTTTCTATTTTCCTTTCTTTTTCATTATTCTTTATAAATACAAAGAAATTATCTCCACCTTTCCTTTACAACAAGTATTCATATTGATTTACATTAAAGACTAAGTTTACAATATTAATTTCCATTTTTCTTTTATCTACTTTTATTTCTTATTTTTTTCTTAATCTATTTAATATTTTTCTTAATATTTTTTCTGGTTCATGCAAAAAGTCCAAAAGGGGCTTCAGATCAGCATTAAAATTAATGCATTTTCTCTGATCAAAGTGGTTAATCTCACTATCTCCGCCATCTCCATCTGGTGAAACTGTAAAAAACATTAATTGCAGTCAGGTGATAATGGAACACTTGCAAACAGTCATAAATGTCCAGTGCAATCATGTCTGCAGCATGAGAGGAAGGAAACATTGGACTTTTAATCCTAGTTGTAAGTAGCTCTTTGGGAGGGTCTGTCATAACTTTGAGCAGTCATTAAATGACTAGTCGTAAGTCAAGGACTACCTATATATCACTATACCTTTTAAATATCCATCTTATTCCATCTTTCATCTGTCTTTTCTTCAAGGTTCATAAACTTGGCTTCAAGCAGCTGAGCCAATTTTAGTCCTGAATTCATCAAACATTGATTGTAATAAAGTTAAAGGGGTTGCTTTATCTTCATTATGATTATCTTTTGTATTCTAACAGTTGTTCTGAAAAGCCTCCATTCTGCCTTTGATTGCTACCATTTCACAGTGAAAGTAGTAAGCAAAAAAGAAAACAGATACAGGTAGCCCTTGACTTACGACCACAATTGAGCCCAAAGTTTCTGTTGCTAAGTGAATTTTGTCCCATTTTGTGACCTTTCTTGCTGTTTTCGTTATTGTAGATTTTGTTCTATATTGGCCAATATATTATGTCTAAACGTCTATATGATGAAAAGCAACAGCATATTGTCCACTGTGCAAATGACCTTCTGGGGCATCTGTTTGGAGTACAGAGTTTTTCTATAAAAGAACACAGGTAAAAAAAACAAACTTGTCTTAAATGCTGTGCTATAGTTTTGTTGGCATGACATGTGCTACAAATATATCAATTCAGATTATCTGTATGCTTGTAGTGAATTTATTTTTAATGTAAAAATCTAATGTAAACTTTTATAGTTCTGTATTGTATTTACTTAGTAGCTGTCATAAATATACTGTAAAATAAAATACTGTCTACAAGAAAATCATCCAAATTATTTATTACGTTTGTATACTTCTGTAAGAACTCACAATAGATTATTGGGGGTAGTGGATAAGAGTTTTTTCTAGATTTTTTAAAAAGAACTATAGCCAGCGTGATACAGTGCTTAAGGTGCTGGGCTGGAACTGAGGATACAGCTTTGAGTCATCTTTTAGCCTTGGAAAACTTGGATGACTTTGGATCAAGACTGAAGGTAGGCTGGAATGTGGATCCTAAGTGCTAACCCAGCAGCTTAACAGTATATCATATGGGTAGATCTGAATGTAGCCGTAATATGTCCATTTAGAATTTGAAAAAAAGGTAAAATATTATACTATTTCAACCAACATTCTAGCTTCAGAAGTGGACAGATGGTTAGTGTCAGCTAGGCTCTTACTTGGTATAAGTAAATGGTATCAAAGTAAATGCAGATTTAATTCCAATCCTGCCTAATTTGTAGTCATATTTTAGGCACAAAGTTGTGCAAGGTTGGACTAACCACTTTCAGCCTAGCAACAGGGCAAGGGCAAACCACTTCCAAAAATGTTGCCAAGAAAACTGTAAAGACTTTTCCAGGCAGTTATCAGAACTCAAAGAAATAAAAAAGAGGCTGGGGAGAGGAGGAGAATCATATGATACCTATATTGAAAGACATGTACTGATTGCTGAATGGCTTAGAGCCCTCTTTCACTCTGCTTTTAGCAGCCATTTTCAGTTTGCTGTTTTTCCCCTGAAGCTTCTGAATACATACAAGCTTTCCTCATCATTGTTTTGTTTACTGTTCTTTTTATCTAAAGCTAAAATCTTATTTTATCTTTTAAAAAGGCAATTATATTTGATGATTTCCAAAAACCTGGTAACAGCCACCCAGCAAGGTAAGTTAATGTATAATTGCACTTATAACAGATGTACAGAGGGCTAGGTGCAAATAAGAAACCTATTGAATTCTTGCATGGTTAAAATTTTGAAACGAGTAAAAAAGGTCCTGAAATGCAATTATATAAATATCTATTTAATCCTTTCTAACTCTATTGGCCAACATTTATTACTGAATTTTAAGGAATTCAAATTTGTACAGTTATAAAATAATAACTAGATTATTTAAAAATGTGTGTCTGAATTGCCAGCTTTCTCCTTTTGTGACTTCCTTTTTTTTTTTTTTTTGAAGACTCTAATAACATAGCTGTGAATCAGTCCAGATGCCAACTAGAAAATGGAAACATTCTAAAGGTGATCACTGATTTATATTACATTTATTCATTCATTTGTTCATTAAATTTATTTGCGACCCATCTCATCACAAGGCAACTCTGGGCAGCTTACAAAGTGAAAACCAACAGCACTATACAAATATACATATAGCAATAACATTGTAAATTATGATAAAAATATGGGGAGGAGGTAACAAGTTGTATGGGTGGTGAGGTGGGATCAGCTATTAATCTACCAAGCATCTCCAGTGTAGCATTCCCCCATTGGGACCCCAAGCCAACTGGCGGAACCAGGTTTTCAGGTCCTTATGGAAGGTCAGGGGGGAGCGGCATGGTCTAGAGGTGAAAACGCACTTGCCTCCCACTCAGAAGGTTGAAAGTTCAATCCTAGATAGCAGCAGAGGTTTATCAAAGAGAAAATATGTGCTGCTAACTCCATGTAGGTGTCAGGAAGGGCATCTGGCCAGTAAACACCCAGCCCCATTTAGTTGCCCCAACTCCCTTTAAAGGAATTAAAGGGATGTGTAAAGAAAAAAAAAGGAAGGTCAGGAGAGTGGAAGCTGGTCTCACCCCAGGGGGTATGATGTTTCAAAGAGCAGGAGCCCCACAGGAGAGAAAGCTCTTCTGGACCTCACCAGCCAACATTCCTTAAGTAGCCGGGTCTACAGCATACCTCTTCTGGCAGTGCAGATGGGGCAGGCATGTCCCATTGGGTTGAGATAATTCCTCAGGAATATATATGGTATATGCCTCTTTATTCTTTCGCATGTAAATCTGAAATAGTTACTCTATATTATTAAACAGGAAACAATACAAGAAGCCACTGAAGCAACTACTTCCCGAAGAACAAGATCCAGTGAAACAGGTATATAAATCTATTGTGTTATGTTTCAGTCCTTAGAGTCATTTGAATATTCAAAAGTAATCATTGAGTAGTAAAGTGATTGTATACATTGTGTGGAAGTAGAGTTGTTTATTGGTTGGCTGGCCTCTGATTGAGATCTGTCTTCTCATAATCTTTAATACATTGGCTGCTGGCCTCAAATTTAACACTGGAATTTAACTTGTCTGTTTAATACAGTGTGTTATGGAGATATATGTAAGTGAGATATAGCAGCTTTTGTTTATTCTATTATATCCCGAATATTATTTATTCTATAGATCAAGGTCAAACACAATTTCATTGAGGGCTTCATCAGGGTTGTATTTGATCTTGAGAGGCTGGGGTAGGTGTGGCCAGCTCAATGTCACTTGTGTCAGGGAGCGCCTGTAGTGGCCTGAGTTACTCTGCCAGAGAAAATGGAAAGCTCCGCTTTCACTGGCAAAGGCATCCTGAGCCGGTCCTTCACTGTTTCCAGGGCGGCCCCGCAGGTCAGATCTAAACACTCATGGGCCGGATCCGGCACTTGGGCCTTGAATTTGACACCTCTGCTATAGATCATATACTTCACACTGTTCCAACTGGTTTCGTGAAAAGAAATTGTACTAGAAACATTTTAAATGTAGTTACCGTTATTACTGTTAAGTAGAAGCTTTTTTTAATCTGTATAAAATAATGTCTGCTTTTAAAAATAGGAGTGTCTCTTTTAAAGATAGCAATCCAATGAACAATTTCTCATAATTTGAGAACATTGAAAATATGTAACTTTTTGGAGGGATGTCAATAGATATCTTAGTGAGCTGTTAGTATTTTATGCAAGCATTTTAGGTAGTACTGGTGATTTTCTTTCAGAATATGGAAAGAAGATTCAATCCTCAGAATGATAGGAATAAGACAGCAATCACCTATCTAAAGTTTAGAAATTGCATAATAGATTTTCTTCATTGAATTATTTTCTAACACAAAATCAAAGATTTGGCAATTTGCTTAAGAGAGATTTTTTTCCAACAGAAGAAAGTGCTTCAGAAGATATAAATTATGAAAGACAAAGAAAAAGACAGAAATCCGACAGTATTTCTCTTACATTTGATGAAAGTCTTAAATGGTGTGTAGTAGATTGTGAGCGAAGCAACAGCAGCAGCTCAATCAATTCCTCACCAAGTCGAGTAAGTATATACTAGTTTTAATTTTTAAACAAGAAATTTAACTATGTTAAATCTGTACCACTGGAAGGAAATGATAATAGCATGAGAAAATGATACGTATTTTAACCTGACATGTCAAAAAAGAAGAAAACTAGTCAAGGCTTTGCAGTAAACATGCTAATTTGTTATCTGTAGAGTTTCTCCATCAGAAATAAGAGAGTATTAAATTCATGTCCGTATTCTAAGAGAGTAAATGGCTGATAAATATTTTCATGAAGTGAGAGGCTGAAAGGCCGCTTAGGAAGTACTAGTAACAACTAGCTCTCATGTATAGCACTGTATGCAAGAGGAAAAATTTTCTCCTTTGATATTTATTATGTTTTATCCCAATTCTGTTGCATTGGAATATACCCACCAAAAAGATAACAAAATTGGAAGGAACTTGGAGGTCTTGTAGTCTCACCCTCTGCTCCAGAAAATTCTATGCCATTTCAGACAAATACTTGTACAAACTTTTCTTTAAAACCTCCAGTGTTAGAGTACCCATGATTTCTGGAGGCAATTGTTCCATTGATATAACTGTCAGGAAACCTCTCCTTAGTTCTAGGCTGGTTCTCTCCTTGATTTAGTTTCCATCCATTGCTTCCTCTGCCTTCAGTGGTTTGGAGAATAGGTTAACCCCCTCTTCTTTCTGACAGCTCCTTAAATATTGATATCATGTCACCCCAGCCTGAGTTGCATATTTCAAGATGCTGTATTTTGTCCACCCCCATCCACTATATGTTTTCAAACTTAAATATCCTTGTCCTTCCTGCCTTTATCTGTGCTGTTTCTTAGGGGCTTCAGCAATTTTAACTGCAATGTATTCTTATACGTAGTATATTATTATATCTAGAGCAGGGGTGTCAAATTCACGTCATCATGGCGGCATCATGTGACTTATCAAGACTTTTTCTCCCTTTGCTAAACCAGGCGTGGGTGTGGCCAGCGCATGACACATCTAGCCCCATGGGCCAGGAGTTTTGGCAGTCCTGATCTAGAGCCTTTCTGTAAATGCAATCACAGTACAATTTTTTTAAAATAAGAGCAGTTTATTGTGCTTAAATAAGCAGTGGTTTGTTAAATTAGATACTGTAAAGCAGAGGAAGCTTTTATTAAAATATGATTTTGAATTTGCAGGGTGGATAATAGAATTTCAGGGTTAACTGACATTTTCTGCAACATTTGATTTGACAAATCATAATGCAATAGTGAATCAAGAATATTCAGTGATATCATTACTTGCCTCTACAAGCTGGAAACTAGCACAGTAAAATAGAATGCTGGCTAGACAATTTTTTTAGACTTGTGCAGCATAACACCTGCTTAAAATGCTAAATATTCCACACAGAACCATGGTAGGGCAATTCCTAAAACTGTATTGACAACTGATGCCTTATGATCATTGCTGCTTAAACATAGTTTGTCTCTTCTGTTCAATTCATACCCATGCCATTTCAAGAATGTTCTTTCTTTAAAAAGATGAATGTTTACTTTTTAATCATGGAAGTAGCCTTGTTTTTAAAGAAAGAAAATGTTTACTTCCTATAGCAATGCTGCTCTAGTTCAGGGAATATGCATTCTTCGTTGTAGGAGCTACAGGTAATCTTCAACTTAGGATCATAATTGGGACCTCAAGCAATTGGGATTGTTAAACTGATGTCATTAAGTGAGTTGTGCTCAATTGTACAACCTTTTTTGCCATGATTGTTGAGCAAATCACATGGTTGTTAAGTGAATCTGGTCTCCCCATTGACTTTGCTTGTTGAAAGGGCCCTGGGAAGATTGCAAATGGTGATCATGTAACCCAAAGACACTGGAACCATTGTAAATACATGCTGGTTGTCAAGCATCTGGCTTTTGATCATTGACCTTGGGGATACTACAGCATTCGTAAGTGGAGAGACTAGTCATATGTCACTTTTTTCAGTGTTGTCTCAACTTTGAAAGATTTTTAAATAAATGGTTGTAAATCAAAGAGTTCCTGTACTTTGATAAAAAAATAAATATAATTAACTGCTTACTTAGCATTTTACGAGAAGTTTGTATCTTATTAGCACAGTTTTGTTTCCATTATTGCAGGTGCTCTTTTTCATTCCATATATGCATTATAATTTTAGGGACATCTCATCAATTTCATTACTATTCTAATCAGAAGCATTCTCTCTCTCTAGGATCATGCCAGTTTAAGTGAAAATTCAGACTGGTTAGACGAGGATTCGATTTCAGATCAATTCAGTGTAGAGTTTGAAGTTGAATCTATCTACTCAGAAGACTACAGTCCTAATGAAGAAGGGTTTGAACTAACAGATGAGGATGATGAAGTATGTATATTTGAACCAAAATCAGATGGAATGTTGTTTGAGAAATGTAATTTCATATAGGACACTTAAAAATGAACATAACCGAGTGAACTGTCAACCTCTCAAAATCTAAACTTCTGTGAAGTTTCAGAAGTTCTGCTTATCTTTGCTACTCACTATTCTCAGATCTTCATGTAAGTCCTTCTGATAAATATAAAAGGAGCCTGAATGAAGAAGTAAAGTTTGATGCTGGGAGAAAATGCTTCCTCCATGAATGGCATATTCTATCACTCTATTTTGAAAATCAATAAAGGAGAATATTTGTAGTTCGGAGTTAATTTAGGGGTCCTTGATGCTGTCTTAGCTTGCTTGCTTTCTGGCAGATGATTCATTACCCAAGCTAGGGGTAAAGCTCTGAGCACTGATGTTACCTAGTTTGGATGAAACATCTGCAAAAAAAACAAACTCAGAGAGTACCAAGGACCCCTCATTTTGAAAATAGAAACCAAGTTTTAAACTTAGGACTTTTCAGTGCAAAATTCTACATCATTAGTCTTTTTGAATGTGTCTGGTTAAACTGTGTACTGACAAGTTCTCAATACTTTGAAGATTAGTAAAAAATTTGGAAATCTAAAAAGTCTAATCTCAAAAACAATGTACTTGAAGGCTGTGCAATGCCTATAAAGCTTTTTCTCTTACATCCATGTTTACTTCCACTCCCAAAGTTTTAGACAAAGGCTGGGTTTATTTAATATGGTTTAGCACATTGTATGAAGCCAGATATTGTGCTGAATAGCCTAATTAAGGTTTTAATTTTCTGAACTGGATCCCTATAGCTTTTTAAAATAAGTAATTATTTAGAACAATTGATAGCTGATTTTGGAAGTATTCTGAAAGGGGAAGCTGGCAACTTTCCTTTTTATCTCAATCTTGTTCTTAAGGATAATTCCTAATAAGATTTTATTGATTTTAAAGATTAGTAGAATAGTAGAATACTTTATTGGCCAAGTGTGATTGGACACACAAGGAATTTGTCTTGGTGTAAATACTCTCAGTATACATAAAGAAAAGGTACATTCGTTAAGAATCAAGAATCATAATGTACAACATTGTACTTAATGACAGTCATAGGGTACAATCAACAATCAAATCACTAGGAAACAGTCAATATAAATCGTAAGGATACAAGCAACAAAGTTACAGTCCTACAATCACAAGTGGGAGGGGATGGGTGATAAGGAGTGGTGAGAAGATTAACAATAATAGTAGTGTACACTTTGTAAATAGTTGAACAGTGTTGAGGGAATTATTTGTTTAGCAGAGTGATGGCTTTCGTGGAAAAACTGTTCTTGTGTCTAGTTGTTCTGGTGTGCAATGCTCTATAGCATCTTTTTGAGGGAAGGAGTTGAAACAGTTTATGTCCGGGATGTGAGGGGTCTGTAAATATTTTCACAGCCCTCTTTTTGACTCATGCAGTATACAGGTCCTCAATTGAACGCAGGTGGGTAGTAATTGTTTTTTCTGCAGTCCTAGTTATCCTCTGAAGTCTGTGCCTGTCCTGTTGGGTTGCAGAACCAAACCAGACAGTTATAGAAGTGCAGATGATAGACTCAATAATTCCTCTGTAGAACTGTATCAGCAGGTCCTTGGGCAGTTTGAGCTTTCTGAGTTGGTGCAGAAAGGACATTCTTCGTTGTGCTTTTTTGGTGATGTTTTTGATGTTAGGTGTCCATTTTAGGTCATGTGATATAGTAGAACCTAGAAATTTGAAGGTCTCTACTGTTGATATTGTGTTGTCTAGTATTGTAAGAGGTGGTAGTATGGGAGGGTTTCTTCTAAAGTCTACCACCATTTCTACGGTTTTGAATGTGTTCAGTTCCAGATTGTTCCAGTTACACCATGAGGCAAGTTGTATAACTTCCTGTCTGTATGCAGATTCGTTGTCTCAAAAGAGACCAATCACTGTTGTGTCATCAGCAAACTTCAGTATTTTAACAGATGGATCGTTTGAGATGCAGTCATTGGTATATAGGGAGAAGAGAAGTGGGGAAAGCACACAGCCTTGGGGGGGCCCTGTGCTGATTGTACAGGTATCGGATGTGATTCCACCTAGCTTCACCTGCTGCTTCCTGTCTGTTAGGAAGCTTATGATCCACTTACAAGTGTGTTCAGGTACCACTAGTTGGTTTAATTTACTTAGAATGTCTGGAATGATGGTATTGAATGCTGAACTGAACTCTACAAAGAGGACCCTTGCGTAGGTATTTGGAGATTCAAGGTGGTGTAGGATGTAATGCAGAGCCATGTTAACAATTTTATTGATTCTAAAATTCAGTATTGAGTTATTTGACTTGGGATGGTGAAATTACTATATTTTCTTCTCAGTAAAATATTTATTTATTTATTTTCATTGATGAAAGAGAATTAAAGCTTCACAAATTGACTTTAATCTAGAGTTATAAAATACATTTTGTGTGAATTTTAATTAAATTAATTTTTCATCAGGTATATCAAGTAACTATATATCAGACTGAAGACAGTGATATAGATTCATTTGATGAAGACCCTGAAATTTCACTAGCAGTAAGTAAAATCTTGATTTGAGACAAATTGCACTTTTGAATTCCCCAGATTACTTCCATTTCCTTCACTTGATGTTTTCAGAGCGGTTTGCTCTGTTCCCAAGCGTTCGATAAGCGACCAAACACATTTTGTCAGGATGGAGAAAAGATAAGAGACTCAAAACTCCGTGTGCTTGCAAAAGGGGCGGCTTGAAATGAAGCGATTAGGTTCCCTTTCAAAGCGTCCCCTTTGCAAGCAAAGAAAGCTTTGTCTCCTCTGGACCAGGGGTCTGCAACCTTAAAACACTCAAAAGAGCCATTTGGACCCATTTCTCACAGCAAAACAGTATTTGTGATGTGCCAAGGAGGCTGATATATGTCAAGAGCTTGGCCTGTTGCAGTTGTGGGCAAGCAGACAATGGGACCAGGGGGTGGGGGACAGCGGTAGCTATACTCCCTTTCCCATCGGCTCATGCACTCACCACCTCCTGCACTTAAAAAAATAAGACCTCCCTGAAAATAAGCCCAACTGCTTATTTTCAAGACTGGGTCTTATTTTCGGGGAAACAGAGCTAGATACTGCATGCATGCCGGTACATACATACATACATACATAATTACATACATAATTCAAGAGGTTAAAATGCAGATTGATTTCAGCTTTAATTCAGAGTGTTATTTCAATGAATTGGAGAGTTACAATCTATTTTCAGGTACCAATTATAGTTGTATATTTTTCTCTAATAAATACTAATATAACAACCTAATTAGAAAAATGTATTCCATAAATCTTTTTAAATTTTTAAAATTATTTTGTTATATAGAGAGTAATAAGAGTATACTTTAGGAAAGAATTGATCCTTTTTCCCAACCATTGGAATGATAATCATTTCCCTAATAATGTGATTACATTGATGTAGCAAAATTGGGTATATCACCAAATCAATCTGCAGGAAATCAAGTATCTCAGACAGCAGAGTGCATTACAATAAATATGGCACCAAGTCTGAAATCCTGTCAGGATTCTCTCCTGAAATAATCTTGGCAAAAACGTATCAATTTTAAATTGCTTTTCCTTAAGCATAACTATTCTGCAGCTAAAGCCAAAGTACTGTGAATAGGTGTACCCTAAAGCAGTGGTCCCCAACCTTTTTTTGTACCAGGGACCAGTTTCATGCAGAAACACTTTTTCAAGGACGGGGGGGGAGGGGGGGGGAGTCCGAGTTTGGTGGTTTCCTTGCAGACGTTTCATTGCCTGACTAGGTAACATCTGATGTTGTTACCTAGTCGGGTAATAAAACATCTGCCAGCAAACCACCAAGTTCTGGGAGCGCCAATGCCTCCTCATTGCAACCCTGAGCGACAGATATTCTCTTCTATTGGGACATTTAAAACGGAGGGTTTCAGCTGCAGATTTAGGAACTGCGCCGGGCTGAGGAGCGCCTTCAAAACTGAGCGCTGGGCGGCGGCAGCCCACGGCTGTCTCCGCGGCTCAGGACAAGTCCCTGCAGGACGGCTGAGAAGCCCCGCCTCTCGGCCCTGCCTCCCTCAGCCTCATCCCTCAGGTGTCTCCCTCCCTCCTCAGCCTCATCCCTCAGGTGTCTCCCTCGTTCCTCTCTCAGTCACTCTCTCGCTCCTCCACCAGCCCAGGAAGAAACTGCTTCAAAGAAGCCAGCAGGGTGGCTTTTCCTGTCGGCGCAGCTCCTCCGAAGCGCCCGTTCACCCCCACCCCGCCGCCAATCAATCCAGGTTCAATCCAGTGCTCCGTTCTGCCTGCCTGCCTGCCTGCCTTCGTTTCTGGTTGTTTCGGAGCAGCTTCGGCTGAGAATAATAACTATTCGCCTCTTTTACTCAGCCAAAGCTGCTCCGAAACAACCAGAAACGAAGGCAGGCAGGCAGAACGGAGCACTGGATTGAACCTGGATTGATTGGCGGCGGGGTGGGGGTGAACGGGCGCTTCGGAGGAGCTGCGCCGACAGGAAAAGCCACCCTGCCGGCTTCTTTGAAGCAGTTTCTTCCTGGGCTGGTGGAGGAGAGAGCGAGAGAGCGACTGAGAGAGGAACGAGGCAGGAGGAAACCGAAGCCACTGAGCCAGAGAGTAGGACAGGCTTTGGTTGCTTCCTCCCTCCCCTTCTTTCATTTGTGTCCTTGATCTCTGATCCCAGCAGCATTCACCGAAGGCGAAGAAAGCCGCCATTTTTATTTTATTTTTTATTTTCTTTGCGGCCCGGTACAAAGTGATCCACGGACCGGGACCGGTCCGCGGCCCGGTGGTTGGGGACCCTTTGCCCTAAAGTATACTAAGCAGTCCAGACCCTGGCCAGTTAAAATGTAATTTTGTTCCAGTCATGGACATTTTGCCTTTCAGAATTCGTATCTTACCAGAGGCCAGAGTATCAGGCTTTATATACTGTATTTATATATGTGAAAGCATTCAACATTATTAGCCCTTCAATCTCTTTCTCGATTACCATGCATCTATGGCATAGTGCCCTTGCTTTGACTTTACATGTCTATTTTGTACAAATAAGGATTGCAATAATGAGAGGGTAGTTTATAAGTTTTGGCTGCAAATATGGCCCCTTCTAAGATCTTCTTACAGCCCATCATGTGTACAAAGAACTTTATAGTTTCTTTTATTTTGATAAAGCATTTCAATTAACACAAATTATTTCTATCTAATTCACCAAAGGATTATTGGAAATGCTCAAAATGCAATGAAATGAATCCACCTCTTCCATCCCATTGCCCAAGATGCTGGACTCTTCGGAAGGATTGGCTTCCTGATAAAAAGACTGAGACAGCTAAGAAGAGCACATTTCTAAATCCCTCATCATTATATCCTGAGGAGGGCTTTGATGTTCCTGACTGTAAGAAAGGGAAAATTAATGAGGATAAGGAAGAAGAAACTGCAGAACAAAGCCCTGAATCTCAGGAAAGTGAAGCATATTCACAGCCATCTACATCTAGCAGTATGCTTTGTAGTAGCCAAGAAGACTATAAAGAATCTGAGAAAGAAAACAGTGAAGACAAAGAAGAAAGACTGGAACTGGGGCAGCCTGTCTCCAGTGTAGAGCCTTGTGTCATATGTCAAACAAGACCTAAAAATGGTTGCATAGTACATGGAAGGACAGGACATTTAATGTCATGTTTTGTATGTGCAAAAAAGCTGAAGAAAAGGAACAAACCTTGTCCAGTCTGTAGGCAGCCTATTGAGATGATAATACTAACTTATTTTTGCTAGCTGCAGTATAAGCGACCGTTCCTATATGAAGAATAAATAACACAATGCAATTTTGAATGTTTACAGGCATATATTTATTTTCCAAAAGACAGAAATTTTTAAACATTGCACCATCAACAATGTGATCATAACATTCTCCAGTTTAGTTAGAAATCTGCCAAAACAATAAGCATATAATGAAGACTGATAATTCAGAGTTTATTCTTTATATTTAATATAAAGAAATCTTAATACTCTTTAGGGGCCACAGAAATAAAGTATGTATTATGGTCTAAATCTGAAACTGATTTACCTACCTAAGCTGATGCAAATACTGTAGGCCAAACACAGCGGATACAATGGAAAGTGCTTAACAATGATTTAAGTAATCCTACTAGTTGTTTTCCAGGTTTCCTCCAATATTTTTATTGCATCTGAGTGGTTATTGGCTAGCAAGCTAAGATTATCTCAAAAAGAGCTTAAAGCTGACATGAAAAAAACTAGTTCTGACAGATCCCTTAATGCAGATTAAAACAAGAAGGAGGCAGTTGTTTCGGGAGCAAGTTTTACAATCTGTTCCCAATGTAAAAGCGCTCTACCTTTGCCTCAATGAATCCAAAGTTTTGGTAGAGTTACGTTCTTTAGGCTACCATACGTGTATTTCTTTGGTGAAATTATAAAGGATGACTTACATTTGTGCTGTAGTCAAGTATTATGGCAAGAATTCTGTTTAAAAGGTTTTTAGAACTAATTCTAAAAGTCACTGAAATAAGATGAAGCATCCCAAGTACTTAACTATTGTAACATTCACAGCAAGCAAATAGTATACAATGAAGTGTGAGTTGCAATCTATAATTTACAAATAAACAACCTTTGCTTTTGTTTATCCTCCATATTTTATTCTTATATAGTAATTCAGTTCACAACAGTAATGTTATCTGTTTCCAGTCTTTTTTTGGTAGTGGGGAGAGGCAGCAATGTGTAATGTTGATTCTTTTCTAACTACAATCTAAAGATTGTAATGGTGATCAATTTCCTTGAAGTCATATTTTCTAAAATGAGATCTGACAAAGAAGAGCCTCCACATGGTGTATGTCTTGGGCTATTTGTGTGTGTGTGTGTACGTACATAAAATAGTATTTTCCCATTTGTATTAATTTTGGGGCAAAATTCTGCATCAGTACTGTATTTTTTTCTACCTGGAATGTAAAAATAGTTTGTCATTGAAATATTTCCCCTAATTTAGAGTTCTCTTGACTTCAGAATTCTAAAATGTGATTCCAAGGTGAGGCGAGGAAAGGTAAAAGCAACAGATCATCCTTTTTTATATAGTACCATATCCAAGAGCATTTGTTATAGATGCTTAATAGATACTAATAAAATAATCTCATTGGCTCAGGTTGCTCAGAGTAGGTTCCATGTGTGTACAGATACCCTAAACAGTGGGGGGAAAATTTTTTTTCAAGCAAATGTTTGCATTCATTTGTCTTCATTAAAGAGAAAAGATCGACCAGGTAAAATATGCATTGGTCTCTTCTGACTTCTCATTTTTATCCCTAAGATCCAGTTGTATTAGTATAGTAATTCTATTTTAAGTGAAGGGCAAAGGGGATGTTTCATTAAATTAATAAATAATTGTACCACTGTGACCTGTGCACATTTTCCTATTCTCAAAGGTTGAAACAATGCAGTTAATTCAAAGGTTTTATTCAGAATATCTCAATACAATTTAAAATCTATAGTCAAGTACTGTTAAAAAGCAAACTTAATACAAAATTTTACATGCCTATATATATATATATATACATATATATACAAAAATTGGAAAATAAAACACTGTAACAGTAAATGTACTAACACTGTTTGAATAAAGTGGTTTCAATGGGCATGGAACAGGCTTTTTTGAGGTAGATCCCATGGAGAAAATAAAATCATATTCATAGGCACTGAGTTTTTCTGCACCGTTTGGTAAAACCACTTTCTGTTGTAATGACATAAATCCAGGGAGGGTTGCCTGAAAAACCAATTTAATCTGTCAGTATGTTTACTATTCTTGAGTATAACTTGAAGTTCCATTATCAAAGTAAATCTTTGCTCCATGTGCAGAATGCTCATTTCATATCCTAAAGTCTGAAATACAAGTTACTTCAAATCCCTCAGATTAATACATTTTAAGGGCCTGGGACAGAGTATACAAAACACAAAAGTATGCTAGATAAGAGTTATAGTACTTACATTGAGAATGTAGACTCCAGGCAGGAGGAGAAGGTAATATTCACCATTTTTATTGGTTACATAAGGACATATATGCATCCTTCCTTGAACTTCCACGATCACATTTGCAATGGGTTTGTTCTTTTGATCTAGAACACGGCCTTTTACACCTATAAGGAGAAAACGAAAGGGTGTTGTTTTTCTTTTTCTTTTTTTCAGCCTGTGATTGAGAATTTTCTTTGCTACAAATGAACATTATAATTCAGTAATGACTTTGCAGGAACAACTGTGACTGAAGGGCAAATTCTTGGCTGTGGCTGCACAATAGAACAAGCCTAAATCATCAATACATACACAAATACATATTCCAAAGTATCTCAGACAGAGTTAATGCAGATAATAGTATTTCTCTGTGGTGGTGTTACTGTTAACTCCCATTCCCTGAAATCTGATCAGCTCCTTGTTGGCTTTAGGAAAAGTATTACTAATAGGATTGTTTCAGAGGGCCTTTGATTAATACACTAGATATTGCCATTTATATTTATTGCTCTTCTGTAAATCATTTTATGATTTAATACATGATTTTAGTTTAGGGAACTACGTGTTTTATTGTTAGGTAGTTTGAAATTCTACTATACATGTTTTCATTATGATGATTGTAACCCACTAAGAGTCTCTGGAAAAATCATGAATGAATAATCTTTCCCTGGAAAGCACTGCACCAGGTGACTCGAGTGATGCTATCTATGCCCTCATGTTGCCTCAAGGCTGACTAGATTTGGATGGAGGACAACAGATTTTGACTTAAACTTGATGAGATCAAGTGGCTTTGGGTGCATCAAGCCTCAAGACTTTGGTGTTTGTCAATCTTAGTTCTGGATGTGGTTGTGCATCCCTGTTCAGATCCAGTTTGCAATCTAGGAATTCTCCTGGATTCATGCCTTCTGCTCAAAGAGAAGGTGGTGAGCATGACCAGGAGAGCTTTTGCATAGTTCCGGTTTGTGCACCAGCTGCGACCTTTCCTAGATTATGACTCCCTGTGCTTATCTGGACTAGTACAATGCATTCTACATGGGGCTACTCCATTTGGAAGCTTCAACTGGTACAAAGTGCAGTAATGAGACCAGTCTTTAGGGCGCCTATGATGGCCCATATTATACCTGTGCTCTGTGAACTTCACCAGAACCGGTCTGCTGCTGAGTACATTACAAGATGGTGTATTCTCATTGTGTTCTTTTTCATTCTTTATTTTATTGCTCTATTAGCTTGTTGCTCTGTTTACCCTCTTCATTTATCCCTTTTTATTATTGCAAGCCCCACAGCAAGTCAGGCAGCAAATAAATTTAACAAACAACAATAATGATAATATTAAGCATATACACATTAAAATGAATTGAGCATGTAGAATGAATAACAGCAAGAAGACAATATCAATGTACCTTTTGGAAAAAACATACTGCATATTCACATGAATTATAATTTGTATTGTAAATGTATATTTATTATTCAGTCATTCAGCCTCTTCTGATTCTATGTGATTAGATGGACATTATTTTGCCAGGATGGTTTGTCAGTACTGGTGGTCATCAACTTACAAGTTACAACTTACACTTAATAATGGTTCCAAGTTATGACAGCTTCAGAAAAAGTGATTTTCACCTGTCCTCAAAGTTATGATGCTCCCACAACCCCAATGGTCACATGATCACAATTCGGGAGTTTGGCAACTGGCTCCCATTTTACAACTAGTTGCAACCTTCCCAGCCTGTTTCTCACAAGCAGTGTTAATTGGGGATGGTAGATTTGCTTAACAATATTATTATCAGTGACAATTCTTGTAGAAACGACCCAACAAATATAAATTGTCCTTTCAGTAATTTATTCCACAAGATTTACAGTATCAGACTCCAATAAGTTAAAAACAGTAGAACTGACTTACCTAGATGAATTTGTTTAATGTATTCAATCAGAGCAATTTTATTGTCATCCCAGAAATCTTGAATCTTATCTTCTGAGGGATAGTGACAACATGATAACTCCAAAGTAATGTCAAAGCATTGTCCCCAAACATAATTATAATCCTGCATGCTACCTAAAGTAAAATGTTCATTTGCATCACTGAAAGATCAGTCCAAAAATAAACAAGCATATTATTCTCCTGATCACTTCCATATTGCTTCTCATCCATCAAAATGTGCTCTTGATCTTCTGCATCATGAATGAGGCTAGACAACACTGAATTTCTCTGCAGATGTCACCATCAGGTTTTTGCAACTCCAAATAATTATAATAATGCTAATTATTAATTTTATTGCTGCTATTGTCTAGTGATTGCTGCTACTTTAAGGATCCACAAATAACTACTGTGAACTGCTACTGTCAGGTGGGGCAAACTCTATAATTTGTGTCTCCTCCCCATTACACTTGATTTCATACACTTTCTAAACCTTAAAAAACTTGTGTAGGTGTGAACAGCATTTTTTTCTAGTTGATAGCAATCAACCATAACACTGTAATTATTCTGATTGCACCCAATAGATATCTACATTTGCATGTGGAGACAACTACAGTTGATGCAGACAATGGCAATATATATATTTCAAAAATGTCTACATTCTTAAGTAAGACTTGACATCTACAATTCTATTCAAACAAAGGTAAGAATTAAAATGCCTTTTTATGTAGCAAATCTGAAGTTAAATTGAGGAATGTGGAAATTTAAAGAATTGTGGTAGTCAGGAGAAGAACAACTTCAGACAGAAGAACTTCAAAGACTACAAAGAAAGAATATGTCCCACATGAGGATGGACTTGCTATTAAGACACGTCTGGCTCAAGGTTTCAAGCATGCTAGCAAATTACAAAAGGCTACACTCTTAGTAATAGTGATAGCTGTGGTATCATGGGGTGATAGACAATGAGAACAGTGCATTGCTGCTTTAGCCTATTCATACCTCTTTTTGTTGGTGTAACATATCATGTAAGATCACGCATACAAAATGACATCACTGCTAAATATAATGCTAAAAGAATACAAATAATGTTGAATGCAATTTAGATGTCAGTCTGAGATGTTTTAGCCAGTGTATTTATGCAACCAAATGTATATTGAAACAAATCCAAACAATTTAAAATGCATGAAGCATCTAAACAGTTCCCCATTCTTCCTTATTTCCATCTTTGGCCCCATCTTTGGCCTTTATGTTTTTAGCATAAAATTAATCCATATCGGATTCCATATTAATTTCAACATTCATTACTGTGAGTTCTTCAAACTCTTTATGAATGACAAATATCTTAAAATCTATAAGCATTATACTATCAAAGAAACAGAAGAGGCACAAGGAAAGAATGGAAAATTGTACCTTTCACTATGTACCAGTGATATCCATTTGTAATACCATCTTTAAAGTAATTCATATCATCACACACAATCTCTTTATGCATTGTGCGATGGTTGTTAGCATATGTGCTTGCAAGATGAACAAAAACATCATCGTCCACTGTTTTGCTAACACCATTTGCATCAATTGTAACTGTAGAAAGAAAGTGGTTGCAATGAAATTCATATTAATGTTTAGTCAATTTAATGAATAAATATACAAATACAGGTAATAGTTAGAACTCCTTTCCCAGGTCTTCCACAGACCATAGAATTTTCAGTTTTCTCCTACAAGGACAAAAAGATGATTGTACTTAGACAGAGACAGTGTCTTGAAACAGCTGATGCCTCTTCAAATTTGAATTTTTACACCAGAGGTAAATAAAAATATTTACCAGAGGTAAATAAAAATATTTGGAGGTATGAAATATGAGATGGACCCTTGGATCTCAAAGTCCATGCCATTTTACACCCCAAGAATAGAATCACAAATATTTTGTGTCAACCAGTGATTTTCAATAATCTGTTCACAGTTTACATTTTGTCTTTGAGTGCTCTCATTTCTTCTTTTAAACTATCATATAGTAGTTATGCTGATGACATCCAGATGTTATTCTCTATTCTGATTATAAATGATATGGCATGATCCTCCCTTTTCTGTTGCCTTCCCAGTTGAATTTGCAGTTGAGTCTATTTCTCACCAGCTTAAACTAGATATGAAGACAATTAAGTTTGTCTCTTATCCTGATCACCCTTCTCCCATTTCTTTTACTTTTCAGGACTGTCAGCTGTAGTGTTACTACTGGTGCAAGATTTGGGTGTTCTTATGAAGGAGAAATTTTATCTAAAACCTTTGATTGATAAAGCCACTAGAACCTGCAATGTTTATTTCCTGAATATCCAGAGAATTTATCCATTTCTTACTGTTGAAATGGCCATACAGTTCATGCCTTGGTAGTGTCTCATTTGAACTACTGGCATGCTTTGTTCTCCATTCTTTATGTGACTCTAGATTCTAGAACAATACAATCAATTATCCTAGGACCTTTTCTGATTTACCATACTTTTTTTCCATCGATTTCTCCACTGACTGGATATTTAGGAGTTTTACTAGTTAAAACTTCTCTTGTTGCCTTTCGGGGCCATGATATAGGAAACCTCCATTATTTGACTAAAGTGCATATTCTTGTGCATCCAGCTTAATCATGCAGTTCAGGGTTACTTACTTTTTTCATATAACAGATTGATACCATTTTAATCTGCATCAACAGGACAGCTTTTCAGTAATGAGAAATTTAACAACTCTTGTCTTTTTCATCAGTCAGACCCTACATTAAGCATTGTTTCTAGTTCTGGGCACCACATTAAAACAAAGAAATAGGAGAAATTGAAACAGTTGCTTTTTTTTTTCAAAAAAACAACAACACAACAGGAATGCTCCAGGAATTGGAAACAAAGTCTTATGTGGAGAGATTGAGGGGACTGGATATATCTGATTGTGAAAAAAGGAAAATAATTAAGTGGTGCAGAGAATGTCAAAATATATTTTTCTAGTTCCACAGTGCAAGCCATGAGTTAACATTCATAAGCCACAAGAAAGAAAATTCCAGCTGAATGTTTTCCTAAGTTTCCTTCAGAAAAACTTACTCAGGGTAAGAGTAGTTCAATTGGGAAAATGATTACCAAGAGAAATAGTGAGCTGTTTTTCATCATGCATGTTCAGATGGTAGCTAACAACAATTTGTTACAGAAATTTTAATTTGGATAACTGTATTGTGCAGGAAATTAGACTTCTAGTTCTGCTGCTCTTTTGCCTTCCTGGTAATGGTGGGAAGTGTTTTCCACAACGAGGATATCACAGCAGATCCTCACTCTTCTTTTTCTACCAGCATTCTTCTTATAGTCACTTCTTGTACAATTCACATTTTTACTTTTACAATCTGGCTGCTGCAGTAAATTTTCCCTTTGTCAGTTCAGAATGAAGAAAAAACTCCTGTATTTTACTGGAAATTTATCTTGGTTTATTACCCATAGCTGTGATGGCGAACCTGTGGCACGCATGCCAGAGGTGGTAAACAGAGCCCTCTCAGTGGGTACGTGCACCATCGTCAGTTGCTCTTCTGGTTTCTGGCACACACAGGTGTGCCAGCCAGCTGATCTTTGTTGGCACCAGAGTGCCGGAAAAAGGCCTGAAAAATGGCCAAAAACCAGGCCATTATTTGGGCCTTTTCAAGCCATTTTCAGGCTGTTTTCTGGGGCATTTTTGGCACAAAAATGGCTTGTAAATGACCCAAAAACAGCCTGAAAACGGCCTAAAATAGCCAAAAAGCAGGCTGTTTTCCAGGCCATTTTCTGGGCCATTTCAGGTCATTTTCCAGGCTGTTTCAGGCTGTTTTTCGTGTCAAAAATTGCCCCCAAAATGGCAAAAAAAAAACAACCCAGGTATTTGCACACCGGCCAGGTGGTCTTCAGTTTTCTGGCACTCTGGCATGCACACATGCATGTGTGTGCACATGCGTTCCAGTTTGGGCACTTGGTGCTGAAAAGGTTCTCCATCGCTAACCTATACGATAGCTGGCTGGTATTATAAGATGGATTTCATGTGACAAATTCCATTAAATGTGACATTTTTAAAAAATCTCATAATTCAGATTGAAATGAATATGCACATGCAGATAAAAAGTTAGTTTTCTAACTGTTCCCTCCCTTGGAATTGATCTGAATTAGATAAATCATGGACTGGATTAACGGAGCCTAAGTTAGTTTGTTAAACTGAATGACTGTTTATGCTTTTTAGTGTTCCTTTTTTTTTTTTTGCCTACCACCTTGAGTCTCTGGTAGTGGATGATCTATAAAAAACATGCATAAGTTAACAAATAAATGTGCTGGTGAGTTAATAGATAAATTCAAGTAATGTATATGTGTGTATGTGTGTGTGTGTATGATCCAAAGCTAACTTATTTTGATTTAGTATAATACTTGCTGTTAATACATTCATTAATTTATTTTGAGATGAGGATTATGTAACTTTAATTAAGAATTGAGAACTGTTTAATGTAGTATGCTTATGGTCATCCTAGTATTAGCTTACCGCGATTGCCATTATCAAAGGGGTAACTTGCAACCAGTGCTCCACCATGCAGATTAGCAGAAAGAACAAACATTCCAGTATTTATCCAGTTCATAACTGCTTTACTCTCTGGCTGGATAATTTGATTATTGGTGGTAAAATGATCAGGAAAATTCCTGTTCAGATCTTTTCTATTAGCATTGTACCTTGAAGAGATAACATTGTTATTATATAATCTTTAACATACTTTTTGAGTATATGAGCTCAGCCATAAAAATTGGATCACAGAGGCTAGGCTAATGTTAACAGAATTGCAGGAAATAGTAACAAGTAACAGTACCTGCACTGGCTTTACCAGGAAAGGTGTCTAAAAGTATCTTGATGATTAATCAGGATGGTCTGTTAACAGGTAGATAAGGAAATAACAATTCCAAGGAAACAGAGCAAAGATGAGTAGATAATAAAATAAGTAAATCTAAGGAGCAAAGAGATGACCTGTGGGGAGAGTAAACAAGGCATAAGCCTGTAGGAAGAGCAATAGAAACCGTCATCTCAGAGGAACCGGGGAAATGGGATTTTTTTTAATCAAAGGAAAGTTAAAGACCAGCAGAAAAGTTTATGCTAACCTGGAATGAAAGATGGACATGGTTATGAGAGGCATTGATCAAGGGTGATATGAGACTATTAATTCAGAGAGGCAAATAAGTTTTGAAGAAGGTGACCCATGCATTAGAAGAGGAATGATAAATATTCATTCTTGTGGGCCGAGGGCAGGATTACATGAAATCCCAAAACTTCTTTGCAAAATCTCATAAACTACCATTCCCTTGCCCACAGCCTGCTTTTAAATTAACAAAATCTTCCTTATTACATATAAACTAAGATAAGTGGGAAAGACCAGGCTAGATAAAATTTCCTACTCCTGCTCAAAAAACTATAACTTGATTTAACGATATGATAGTTAAGAACTGAACCTACAAAATTGTTCTTCAGCTAAGTGTATTATGGGTTGTTAAGTAACCTGTTGAAAACATACCCAAGACAATCCTCATTATATCCTAGGTTGCTTTTTTCTTACCTGCCAATTGTGGATGCACACTGAAGCATAACTGATGCTTCAAAACCATCAGGGTTCATTGAAGGCATGATGTGTATCCGGGTGTGATTAATGAGTTTTGTAATGACTGGATCGTGTTGATCACTTTCCACCAAATATTTAATCAAATGGAGGAGCAGTTCCCGCCCAATAGCCTATGTCGGGAAGCAGAGGAATAAGTACTTGAACTAAATTGCCAATAAGAGGCAGCAAATCAATATTAGTTGGACAAAAATCACATGATACAGAAATAAGACAAAACAAGCAGATAATGTGATAGCTAATATTTTCAACTTACAAATAATCTCCCTGAAAACGGAAGAGTCAGAAAAAAACATGGGCTATCTTATTTACATGAAACTGTCCCTATTACCACAAACAGAGAAATGCCATAATGCATGTACTTAGTTAATGGATACATATGTATGGACACAGCATGCATATGTACAAAAACAGAATTAAAAAAAAAACCACTTAATTTATGACCAGACTAATTAATTCAAGGGTATTCTTCATATAATCATACAAATACATCTTAGATTCAGTGGATTCGTGTAGTGTGATAAAGTTTGGTTTAACCATGATCAGCCAAATTCAATTGAGTTATCATATACTAAACTATATAGGTAGTCCTTGACTGATGACCACAATTGAGCCCAAAATTTCTGTTGCTAAGCGAGACACTTGTTAAGTGAATTTTGCCTCATTTTATAAACTTTCTTGACACAGTTGTTAAGTGAATCACTGTAATTATTAGTAATATGGTTATTAAGTGAATCTGGCTTCCCCATTGACTTTGCTTGTTAAAAGGCTGCAAAAAGGGATCACATGACCTTGGGTACTGCAACCATCATAAATATGAACCAGTTCCCAAGCATCTGAATTTTGATCATGTGACCATGGGGATGCTGCAATGATTGCAACTGTGAAAAACAGTCGTAACTTTTTCCAGTGCCATTATAACTTTGAACAGTCACTAAAGAACTGTTCTAAGTTAAGAACTGCCTGTGATTATGGATTACAAACCACAATAGCTGGAGTCATACAGCTTGCCAAATCAAAAACAAACCATGCAATGGTTTAGCAACATATATGATTTCAGTTACTGAGAGAAACAGATTTCATAACAGAAGTCAGCCTGTTTTCCTTAGCATCAGCTGTTAATGGGATTCCATGCTTGAGAACGCAACTACCAGTATATGCATATCTTACATTATATTTTTGGTAACAATAAATATACTATTATTGACATTTAACTACCAGTAGTCATTAAAAAAGTGAGGATATTTTTATTTTTCTTCCTAGTAATAATTGCTAACTTTAAACTTAGTTGTTCTGTAATATCAACCCTCAAACTTGCAACAGTAATGAAATCAAACTAAGGGTTAAGAAATTATTGTCCATTGTCCATTTCTGAATGTATTCTAGATTTCTTTATGTGAATAAAATATTCAAGTCCTTGCCTGTAGGGCTCAGAATCATTAACTGCTCCACAAGAGACTAAAAAAATTAAAGAAAATCCAATATTGTTTCTTCAAGATCATACTGGGCCACATTCATTGTATCCCAGAATGTTGTTTTTATTAGAATGGTTAAAATCTTGTAATCATGTGTAATTTTGACCAAGTACTTCTGATAATCATTTAAATTACTAGGAAGAAAAAATAATAAGAGAACATAAGAAAAAATATATAGCCTAATAGGACAAGTAAATATAATATATTACAGTATTATTGGCAAATTGCTATGCACTTAATACCAAATACAAATTCAATTAAAACAAAAACAAAAGAAGTCAATAATTAAATCAGGCCAGAATGCATAATATATATTTATTTGTAAAATGTATCGGCTGCCCATCTTACCATAAGGTAACCATTTAAAATAATACCATAATGCCTGAACAAATACAAAAGGATAAGTTTCTAGATGAAGCAATTTAGGGTTAAAAGTTTAAATTTATTTGTATTGTATGGATACAGAGACCAAGAAAGATAATAAAAAAGCAGAAACATGCAATAAATTCTAGTAGTTAAAAATAAGACAAAAGAATTAAAGTGGCTAATGACCTAAAAGGCAAAAATAAAGGAAATTATTTTGGATTCATATTGTATAGATTGTGACTTAGATATAGAACACTATTCTGACTAAAAGGAACTTCCTTGATGGACCTGTTCAGATTGCTTTGTTTGATCTGGAAGCCAGATACGCTTGTAGTTGTCTAACCCCTTAGCAGTCTACAGCATTGTAACTGTATTTCTCCAGCAATTTTTGAGCCCATTTTGGGTGCAGAGAAAGAATGTGGGCTACAAAAGTACATAAAAATTACAATTTATACATTGTTTTTTCCTCAGGGTTCAATGAAGTATCAAATAATAGTACTTTGTTAAATAGTTGTTTAATCGCTCTGCCACTTTTTTCTCACTTAATCCCTTTTCCTAAACTAGCCAGCCAAAATACCCTCCCTGCTTTTAACCAATATTGGGTGACATTTTTCATATTTGATACACTGGATGGTAATAATGGCAATTTAAGTCCAGCATACCTGAAGGGACTAGGTAGAGAGAGCGACTTCCTGTATTGAAAATTCCCAGGACTCCTGTATCACTGGGACAACCTACGGCATAGTTAAAACATTTAACTGTTATTGTTTTTATTTATTTATGAATTTTAATAGTTATCCTTCACTCCATTGTCACACACATATTGCTACAAGTCAAAGTGCAATGGGGATCTGAATAGTTGCTTATCTAGTATTTTTTAGAATTAGTAAGGAAAAATATATATCAATTTTTTATTTTTTTCTCAGATGACCAACTGGCTTGTTACCATGATACTACATTATTCGTTGTATTAAAAAATGGGGATTTCGTACACAAGCACTCCTTTATGAATAAATATGCTTCAATATAAAAACATATTAAACAACTGGATTATTTATTACATTTATTTTGTCTAACTCAAGGCAGTGTGTATAATGCTCCTTCCTCCTACTTTCCCAAGAAAACCCTTCCAAGGTAGATTGGACTAAGAAATAATTGACTATCTCAGTCACTTCCATTCCAAAGAGAGAAGCAGAACTAATATTCCCCTTGTTTCTAGTCTAGCATCTTAACTATTACACCACTGAATGGCATATTCTCACATCCCTAAATGCTTGAACTCCATACATTTTGCCAATAGGGCCAATACATGTTGCAATACAGAGCTAATTAATGTTACTGCTTTATAATTATTATAAATTGAATCTAATAGTGGAGTTCAGCAATATAGCCTTATTCTAAGCCATTTCCCACAGTCCAAGTGGTCTAACTGTTGGGCATTTTAATCCCCTAGTGGTTTTGGTAAATGCCAAGTCTATGCAGAACATGGCCATATCCATCTATGATATGTGAATGAATATACAGCCTTGTTATGGTTTATTGAATCAGGCATGATGAAGATGAAATCCAAAACAAAGCTGGCTACCTGAGTTTCAGGGCAATCATCAGCTGTGATATCATAAAGAGGCTCACAATGATCAAGCACTGTTCCAGAGGTAGTTAGTTCCTTTGAATGGAATTGTGCCACAAGGAGGATCTTTGGTTGCTGCTGATGTATGAACTACCAGCATGTCTCTGCAAATCCTGAATGTCATGTTATCATTTCCTTTGCTGACTTCAACCTCCATGTTCTGTCATGGCAACTATCGTCCCAAAACATGCAGGCAGGTACACACTTGACCTAGTCTTTGTTTCAGAGCAGATGAGATATGATCTGAGAATGGAAGAAATTACATGTACCCTTTGCCATAATTAGCGCAGTACTTCAATAAACTGGACATCAAGGCATTGGGACCATTTGAATAGCCCGCCTATGACATCTAGTGGATTGATAGGATTTCATTCTTTGGATATGACTCTCTCAGAGGTAGGCATATGTTTGATGCAAGTTGTCTGGATAGCCTTTCTGTTAATTCCACTTTGTTATTTCCTTTATCATTTTAGAGTTGGGTGGCATCAAAATAGAAACATACTGTACAAACAAATAAGTGAATACTTCCTTTTTGCCTTGTATTCTGTGATTAATATATTCTTATGTTTTGGGCTTAAATGACCGACTGTGGATGTTCATTCTGATCAGTTATTTTAATTTTTCTGAGTTGATGTTCTATACTCACAATAAAGGAGTAATGCTACACTAAGAAAAAGAAGGCATGGCATTGCTTTAGTTTATTCAATTAATACATATGTCTGATCCAATTGTTCCCACTTTGCTGCTTCTCTTTGGGGAAGCAGATCAATACAAACCTTTGGAGCCGAGACAGTTTTTTTCTTTCACCTTTAGATGTCATTATGTTTCTATTTATGAGAGGGGGAATGGAAAAACTATTTGGTTGTTGTAAGGTACAGCAGAGGAACATAAGGAACAGCAGAGATCCAAAATTTGATGTGGACTGCCAGCGGCCACAGGACCATTTATGTTTCTCCTTATTGATAAACATTACTGAAAGCATATGGCTGGTTTCTAAAATAATTTAAATATTTTTTAATAATAATGGCCACAAGGTTTAAAAAGAATCAGAAATATTTTGATTCTTCAATTTTCTTTGGAATTGTTATACTCCCCCACCCCATTAATCTTTACAGATAAGCTGTCAGGCAGGGGTGAGATTCTACAGGTTCGCACCTATTCGCTAGAACCGGTTGTTAACATTCTAAGCAGTTCGGAGAACCAGTTGTTAGAAGAAATTACTGGCCTAATCCTGTAAGAAAGGCAGGAAGGAAACATTCTGGTGTTGCTTACAGAAACTGCCTCTCCATTAATTCTTATTACATTCTTGGCAGGACTAGACTTCCTGTCTCTGGAACTTCTCTGGAGTTTTTTTCCTCCTTTGCTGGTACTTTGCTTGTGTGAAGTGACCATTCAAACTTACATTGGCAGTGAAAAAAGTGACTTATTTTTCACACTTATGACTGTTGCAGCATCCCCACAGTCATGAGAGGCCAGGCGAGGAGATGAGTGCCTTGATGTGAGTGATGTTGAGTTGGCCACACCCAGCCAGTCACATCACAAGCCATGCCCACCACCTAAGCCATGCCCACAGAACCGGTTGTTAAAATATTTGAATCCCACCCCTGCTGTCAGGATCATATACTGTATTTACTGTATAAGACATACTTTTTCCACCCCCAAAAGTGAGTGGAAATTTCTGCGCATCGTATACAGTGAATGTTGCCGAAGCCCCGGCCACCTGCCGGCTCCCACCCTTTGGCCTCTGCCTCCCAGCAAGTTGCCTCCTTGCAGCAAACAGAAAACAGCCTGTTTCAGTTTCACCTTCAGTACAACCTGATTAGCACAAGCAGCTGATTGTCTGTTCGATTGGCCTCCTGACAATCAGCTGTTTCAGGCTGCAGGGATTGCCATTTCAGTGCCCCGTTTTCGGCCTCCATGTGTCCCATTTTCCACCCATTCCGATCCCCACTGCCCGAAACAGGCGGAAAATGTGGCATGTGGAGGCCAAAACCGAGGCGTGAGGAGGCTGAAAATGGGATGCAGAGGCCAAAAATAGGGCGCGCAGAGGCGGCAATAGGCTATGGCAATCCCTTTTTTCTTGTTTCCTCCCCAAAAGCTAGGTGCATCTTATACTTTGGAGCATCTTATACTCTGAAAAATATGGCATTCCCATTCAGCATTAATACAGAAATGCAAATACAAAAAAATGAACTTTTATTTGAATGGTAGCTTTATGAAATTGAACTTATAGTGGGAAAATGTTCTTGGAAATGAAAGGATAATGCTAATAAGATTATATAAAGGACACTGTAATTCTACTCCTAATTATAAGCACTACTAGAATGGTAATCTATTAAGTGACATAAATTTCATCAGACTATTTACGGCATGTCCTTTTCACTGAAAACCATTTGTTTAAACCTTACTAGATCATGCTCATTAATAGCAAAATATAACTCAGTCGTTATTTTTGGCTGCTTAGATAAAAGATTTAACTTTTCCCACAAGTATATAAATTGGGGTGCTTCCTATAAACAGTGCTATAAGGAAACCACAATAGCTGAAGTTATAGACGTACCTCATTCCCATGCATATTACCAACATACTTGAACTCTGGTATGCCAATCTTATGCTGGGTTGGAGACCTTCCCAGAGCAAGAACCCAGAGGTCTCTACCTTTAAGTGGAAAAGAATTTTACACACACATAGTATATGTATGCACATAGTTGTAAAATAATAACTCGTAAACAATGAAGAGCTAAGATAAACTGTCTTATCTTTAACTCATTTGTCGTGGCATTGAATAAATGAGTTTTAAATGCAGGCAGTTATTCAGATGAATTAAAGCCTAATGTTTTTTTTCTTTTATTTAAACAAAAACATTTTAAATTAAATAAATGTAAAAATTTTATTCATTCCTAAAACAATTCATTAATAATAACTAAATAATTTTACTGAAGAGAGCTAAGTTTAAAAATATATGAAGAAGAAATCTGCAAAAAAGAGATATAAACAAGGAGTCAGATCAATTAGGCTTAGTGAGAGACAACAGAGGACGCAAAGGTTATATAATATACATCTATATTATAATATACGTCTAAATTAAAACAGAATAATTTTGTTTGAATACTTGAAAGCACTTAGAAGAACCACTTTTCCCTGTGTAGCTGAAACAAATATTTAACTTGGGAAGTTAAGTCCCTTTTAAAACATTTTTATTGTTTTACTTGATCTGCACTGGACCAAGTCTGAGATAAAAAAAATGAAGTAGCACTTCAGAGTTTAGTTTAAATGGGACCTATATTATTGGGAGATCATTTCATTCAACCCCTATTAATATGAATTGGAGCTTTTAACAGTACTTACAGAGAAAGTTAAGCAATCTGAATTTCTCAAACCTATCAACCTGCTATCTTTTGGAAACTTTTAGGCAGAGTATGAAGTGTGTCACAAGATAGGTTTACCGGTATTTTATTTTTTACATCCACCATTCATTTTACTTAAAATTCAAAATATTATTTGAAAGGATCCTGATGAATAATCATCCTTGACAGTAGTGCTTGACATTTGCTGAAAGGAAAATGTGCAAAATAATTCTCTAAACTGTTTTGGGGACAAATAAAAGCATCATTTGGAAGAATTAAATGCCTGCAGTATTCAGGGAGCTAAAGTTTAACCTTCCCGTCCTATTTATAAACCTAGCAAAATCACTCATTTATACTCAGATAGCTATGAGCCCAGATCAATTAATTGCAAAGGAAACTATTTTCCTAAGTTTAAAAGAGGCAGACGGAAGGAGGACGCCTATTTTGATGGATTTTAAACTGAGAAGGAAGAATTAAGCTTATTTTCTCTATGTAATGTAGTCTAAGTCAAAGTTATTACTCCAACTTTTGCTGTTGATGTCTTTGAAAAAAATAATGTCCTTTTAAATAATGTATAAGTTCCCAAGTATGTTCTTATAACAGATTGAACTAGACACTGGGCAACTCTATATTATAGTCAGGCATGTAGTATCAATGTACCCAGTGTGATTAATTTACATTGCTATATAAACAAGGTTAAATAAATCATAGTTAACTATGATTTCACAGTTTAACTTTCATTCCATTCTTAATTTTATGTCTGACTTCTTTTTTCCCTTCTCATTTAGCAGGGTTAAGAAACCTCAGGCAAAACAGGTAGAAGTTGTCAGGTAGCTCAGGAAGAAAAAGAAAGAAAATCAAGGAGAAATGACAGTCAGCACCAAGAAATGAAATAGAAATGTTTCCATTTCAGAGCAGCCCTAGACAGGTAATAAAATTTGTTGAAAAATATAGAAAAATAGAAAAAAATATAAACATTTAAGTAATCAGTGGACAATGAGCAGTATGCCTTAAGAAGCTGCTCATTTTAATGCTATCCTCTTTCCAAGTGGTTGTCCACCCCCCACACCGTATGTTGAATTAAAATTCCCATCTTTCCAAAGAGTTTGACACTGTTAGAGAAAACATGTCTAAATTGGAGGAGAGAATACCAAATACTTCCGACCCAGAACACAAAAGTTTCCAAGCAAAATGCTCTAAAATGAGTTGTTATATTTTACGCAGTAAAATATTCTCACTGAAAATCTATTTTATAAAACATGGTAAGAATTATGCATTGCGAAACAAGACAGAGCAATAACTCCTTTGAGGCTTTGACTCGGTGGCGCAGTAGTTAGAATGCAGTACTAGAGGCTACTTCTGATCACTGGCTGCCAGCAGTTTGGCAGTTCAAATTTCACCAGGCTGAAGGCTTACTCAGCCTTCTATCCTTTACCAATGTTGGTAAAATGAGGACCCAGGTTGATAGGTTCCGGTTCTGGTTGTGGGAGCGTGACAGCTGAAAGTTATGGGCTCCGTGAAAATCAGCTGTTTTCTGCCGGCCTGAAAGCTCCTCGGGGCCAAGTGTCACCTCGAAGGGGTGGAAGGGCTCCCGTAGATTGCAGGTGGATGGCAGTCCACCAAGTCTGATCCAGGTAAATCTTCTTGACAGACGGAGAAGACGGCCATTTAGGGTCCAACCAAAGATCTGATGGCCAGAATAAGCAAGCATGGAAAACAAGCGGAAAATTCACAGTGCACTGGATGGGGTAAGGAATGTACAATTTCTACCCTGAACTAGACCAACCCCATTAAAATACTTGCTTGTAGAAGGGATACTCCAGGAAAAAGGAGGAGGGAATTATTACCTTGCCTCCCTCCAGAAACAACGAATGAAAGATCGGAGCGGAATACACATCTGTTGAAACGATAAGAGAAATGAGAGATAACTACTTCTAAATTGAGAGAAAGACTGGACTAGATTTAATTGAGTATTACTTTTTGCTTTGATGGAAGGGATATGATGCTCTAGCTCAGAGGAGTATCTTTGATTGTTTAAACTTTCTCAGACTATGGCTTTCTTTTTTCCCTTTTCATTCCCTGTGGGCTATTCTATTTCCGGGCTTCTACCGTAGAGTGGAAAGGAAAAATAAGCAAGGTTGCCATCTACTCGTCAAAGTCGGAATATACCAAAAAGAATATTTTAAGCCAGTGATGGCTAACCTATGACACGCGTGTCATTCGTGACACGCCGAGGCACTTTGACTGACACGCCTGTTGGTGTGGGGAAAACCTGCACATTTAGAGACTGCCTGTGCTCTGCTCCAATCCCTGCTCCCTGCTTGTTGCGCGGAGGCGTGGTGACACCGCTGCTGCGAGATCTTTGCAGCAGAGAACCAGTTTTAACCGCCATAAACTGAGGTTTGTCAGTTTCATTACTTCAGGAATGCTACAGGAGGAAAGGAGATCCATGAGGTTCACAGCCCTGTAAGGTGGCCTTCCGATCCCCACATCCTGCACCTGCAGCCCTGAGACCAGGGAGACGAGTTTCACAGCCCTGTGTGATCACCCCAGCCCAGTCCGTCATAAACATCGCAGGAGGACTGCACCACAACAACCAGACACAGTGCTCACGATAAGCAGCATCGGGTGGCTGTCCTGTAAGTGCAATTAATACTAAAATCTGCATTTCTGTCTTTGTGGCTCTCTCTCTCTCCCACTGTAAAACGCTTGGATGTCTAGTCTGCAGCATTCAGCCCTCTCCAGCTCCTCTAAGCTTTAATTTCCTCCATAGCACCTCTTGCAGTTCTTGCTTCTCACCATCCTCACAGAGCACCATGCAAACCCTCCAAAAAAAATCTCCAAAACACAAACCAAAAAACCCCCTTATTTTGGACATCATCTTGACTTTAATTTCTTTCTCCTGGCAGGGTTCTTCTTCTGAGGCTGAAGATTTAGCAAATGCAATTCAGCAACAGAAAAGTCACTAAGGTAAATCATTATTTGTTTTTTGCTTTTTGAACTAATAAATATAATAAATATATTAAAAATATAACTCTTTCTTTATTAGGGCTGCAAATATTACCAAATTATTGATATTTCTTGAAGTGACACACGACCCGAGGAAGGCTACACTTTTTCCCGATTTTCGACACACCAAGCTGAAAAGGTTAGCCATCACTGTTTTAAGCTGTGCAGACAGAAGAAAGGTATTGCTGGAATTATAACATCTGGTGTCAGAGACTCAACTAAGGACAGTATCCTGTTTCGGAAATTGGTGGGAAGTAAACAAGATTGGAAGTGCGATAGATACAAATACTATTGAATTCTGATGGACTATAAATAACCTAGATTAATTGACTTAAAATTAAATAATAATAATAATAAAAAAAATAAAGTAGACTCTTATCTTACTGACATTTGGGAAATAGAGGGTGCTTTGGATTATAAATATCAATGAAGAAAATATAAAAGACATAAAAAGAAGATACTTACCTGGCATGAGGAAAATATAATATTGGAGCTATTGTGGACCTTTTTTCTTTTCTTTTTCTTTTTTCTTCTTGACTACAAAAACCAACTGATTCAGATTTGACTTTGAACTTCTGAACTATTAAGACTCTGAAAACGAAAAACAGACTGAAGCTGGCTTGAAGAGGAGTGGAAGCTGCTATACTACGCTTCTATTTTGGTTGGTTCTTTGATACGGGGACTATTTGGTATTGGTACTATTGGGTATTGAAAGTGGGAAATATTGATTGTATTGGTATACTTTAGGTGGTTAACTCTGGGCTGGCCTACATTTTTAGTGGACAGTAGGCTTGGTGGGAATATCCATCTACTAAAAACACTATTTGCTAAAATGTAAACCTTAAATGTAGCAAAAATAGGTAAGAAGACATCCTCCAATCCATCTTCAGTGTCCTCAAGCCCTTCGGACCAAAGATTGATTGAGAGTGTTTTACAGCTGGAGAAAACTAACTCATCCCAAAAGGAAGTATTAACACTGTTACAGGCATCTATGACTAAAAGTCACACAGAAATAAGAAAAGATATAGGGGAAGTGAGAAACGATATGAGAAAAAAATCCAAAAGATGGATGAAAAACTCGAGAACCTGCAACAAACAATAATTAATAATGAGCGAAGAATCCAGAAAATGGAACAAAAAACAGAACAGGTAGATGATGATATAAATCACAAGCTGATACAAGCAAATAAAGAGCTAGAGAATACCATGATAATGTTAGAGACAGAGAAAGCAGACCACTACCTAAGGTTTCAAAATATAGAAGAGAAGGGAGATCTACCAGAGTTAATGAAAGAATATTTGGCAAAAGTGCTAGGTACAGATAAACAGGAGATGGATATTGAAGTGGATGAAACATACTGATCTACACAAACTACACGAGAAGATATAACCTTCCTAGAGTTCATGTAAGATTTGTAAAAAAAATAAATACGAGATGAGATCCTTAATAAGGCGAGAGAAGAACCACTAGAATATAAAGGGAAACAGCTGGTGGTTCTGAAACAAATCTCTAGAAGGGCTGTGAGGGTCACAAAGAAAACCCTCAAATAACAAAAAATAACTGAGCTATTCTACCCTTTATCTGCTAAATTATTTGAGTGATATACATCAACGTGGTAAGTTCTATTTTCAAGCTTCTAGCCTGCAGTACCTTTCCCCTCCAATCCCAAAAACAAGCCATCTTATTTGTACATCTATTTCTCCTGCAGTTGAGTACTTGATTGAATATGTCCTGTTTTTATTACAGGGTTTTTTCAAACTGCAGGTAACACCTCCTCTGCAGTTGTAAGTAACACTGAATGGGGTATCACAAACTGCCTGGGCAAGAGGGACTGCTCAAGCAATGTGTGATGCAAAAGGATGGAGTGAGTTCTGAAACATCAGTTTTTCCATGGTCAAGTAAAAGATCAGAGCACTGTGGAAGGGCCAAGCATGAATGTATTGTAACAACTGGTTCTGTTTTTTTGATAGATCAAGCAGATTATTTGTCCAAAGGAATGCTGAGGATAGTATATTTTATTATCAGTATTAGAATATCATGGAAACTTTGTTGAATCCTTGGCTTCAGCAAAACATTTAACAAAGTTACCCATGAGATTCTAATAGAAAAGATGGCAAAATATGAGCCAGATGTGCTGACCAGATGGACATAGAACTGACTGAACATGCCCTCTCTAGGCTCTGCTCAAAATTGTTATGCACAGTTCATATTTGGAGTTAGTAGGGAGAATAATAATCACCTTAGGAGACAGTATCAAAGTTTAGGAAGACCTTATTAAACTGAAACACCAGGGACAAACCTAAAGGACTACATTTAGTTAGGAGAAATAAAAGGAATTATTCTGTATGGGGAGACCATACTGAGCAGAAGTACATTTGAAAAGAATCTGGTTATCTTGGTGAATAACAAGTTAAATGCGAACAGCTGCAAAAAAAAAACCCCAATATAATTTATTATTGTATTTATAATTTTTATTTTTTAAAATTCCTTTCTTTTTTCTTTACTATTTAATTTTTATTTACTTTTTTCTTTGTGTACTTTATTATTTGTATAAATAACCCAAGGCAGAAACATACCTAACATTCTTCCTCCTATTTTCCTCACAACAATAAACCTGTAAAGTGAATTTGTCTCAAAAAGAGTGACTGGCATAACCACATTTGCCTGGGAATAGATATGGTTTCTCTCAGACTCAATGGCAGGTGTCTAAATTAAAGATATTCTATTCCAAGCATGAGTCACACACTATACACTTTAGCTTGAAAAAAATGAGGTTACAAGAATTCCACCAATTGAATTATTTCAGTTAGAACCGTTCGCCAAAGTGATCAATACTGATCCTCTCAAGATCAATGGAACTATCCAAGGAGATGATAAAGGCTGGGGATCAAAAGAGAGTCAGAAATTGCTGCGGGGATCAGTATGTAGTTTGATGAATACTTGAGGTTGACTGGAGTCAATTAATTTTTGGGAGTCTCTGTAGAACTTGTCTCTAGACCTCAAGATGATGAGCCTAGCAGCAAGGCAGGCTTAACCCAGGGCCTGATGATCAGCCATCAATGAGAGGCCTTGAGTTGTCTCTATTATTGTTTTTGCTATTCGTAGCATTATTAGTTAAAGTAGCATTTATTACATTGTTTTTGTGTAATAAATATTTGTGAACTGATGAACAATCTGGAACTTCATCAAGGGGTCAGTGAGACAAAGAGCTTAGGGGCCCCTGCTTTAGAACTAATATATCTCCATGCACATTACAACGGAGTCTTTCTGATTCTCCTTCTAATAGTCTTCTGATGAACCAATGGGAAAGCAGGTGTCTACATAAGGGGAATTCTGCAGTAACTATACAATATGTATTATGTGCATACAGGACAGTAACTGTCTCTTGAATTTCAATCACCTCTTACAACCACTTTAACAATTAAAAAAGAATGCTCTGCAAATGTTTGTACTTTCACAACAGTAGAGCCTTTCATAACAACACAAAACCAGTTAAACTCACTTTTTAATCATTTTTGGAAATGTTCTGTTTAACTACTTTATCGCTATTAGAGGCTTTTAAAATGGTGAGATCAATCTGACACTTGATGAGTTTCAGGATCAGATTTAATATTTTTTAAATAGAGCTTCAATAATTTTAAATATAACTGGCTAAAAGCAATGGATTTTGATTTAAGAAAGTTTTAAACAGATTGAGAGACAAGAGAAATTCAGAATATTGGGTATTTTTATGAAAGATTCAAAAAGTTTTTGGGGTTTGGGGAAGAAACCACAGAGTCAGGTAGAGTATTCCAGATATTGACCACTCTGTTGCTGAAGTCGTATTTCCTGCAATCAAGTTTGGTGCGGTTTACCTTGAGTTTATATCTATTGTGTGCTCTTGTATTGTTATGGTTGAAGCTGAAATATTCATTGACAGGTAAGACATTGTAATGTACGATTTTATATACTATACTTAGATCGGACTGAAGTCGGCGTAGTTCTAGGTTTTCTAGGTCTAGAATTTCAAGTCTGGTGGCATAAGGTATTCTGTAACGATTAGAGGAATGAAGAACTATATTTCTGGACTTTCTCAACTGTGTTAATATCAAATACGTAATGCGGGTTCCAGACTGATGAGCTGTATTCAAGTATTGGTCTAGCAAATGTTTTGTATGCTCTAGTTAGTGTAATATTACCAGAGAAAAAGCTATGTAAGATTATGTTAACAACTCTTAATGCTTTTTTGGCTATGTAGTTACAGTGGGCTCTAGCACTTAGATCATTAGAGATGAGAACTCCAAAGTCCTTGACAGAGTTTGGATCATCAACAAGGTCTTGACTATTCAGCTTGTATTTTATTTTCTGATATTTATATATAATTTTTTTTGCCAATATGTAAGACAGAGCTCAATGGTTAAACTAACTAACCAAAATTTCTATGCATTTATTTCCTTTTTAACGGGAGAGGGAGATGAAGAAAAAAAGCTGGGAAGACTTGGATTACTTATGACAGGGTGATGTGATGGCCCTTATAAAATGTTTAAAAAGTAACAGCAGTCTTCTTTCCCTGAAGTGGAGATAGCCCTTTTCAAACTCACACACCCTCAAGCTAGATGAGGACAGTCTCCCACATAACTCTTAGGTCTTCAGGAGTAACTAGAGCGGGTAGAAAGCGTAGTTCAACTTGTCTGGAGTGGCTGCCCAATGGTTTCAGTAGCACTGTATTCCAAGCAACGGTATTTGGGCCAGACGTCTGGGTGATATCGTCTTTCTTTCTTTCTTTTGCAAATGCTAAATTCTACTCTGGGCAAACCGGCTGAAAAGGCATAAGATACCCACCCACCCACCCACCCCGACCCAGCCTTACCTTGTACTGACTTGCCAATACTGTACAAGTGAGTGATGGCAGGGTAATTCTTCTGCACTTCCTTCAGAAAAGCTTCCAACTCCTTGGTGTGATGGTAGCGGAAATCCAAGCTGGATACCAAAGGCAGCAGAAGAAGCAGGGAGAGGATGCCCATCTCCTACTCGAAAGAAGCAAAACAAGGAAATAAGCGCGAGGGGAGGAGAGCACCAACGGGATCCGCCTTAAAGAATTTAAGTCGAGCGAATAAAGCGCCCAGCATGCGGCGATAGCGGCCTCAGGAGCAGCAAGCCGACTGGCAGAAGGGGTATGTGGGGCAAGTTTTGCCAGGCGCTGCCTTATTGTTACCGAAGTGACGGCAGCCAACCACCCTCTCTGAGGTAGCCGCCAAATCCGCTGCTACTCCAGATATAGGCTGCCTGAGCCGAACCGCAGGGCGAAGAGCCAGGAGGGGAGAGGCGGGACCTTATTTTGAGCTACACAGGAGGTGGCCAGTCCAGTGAGAAGAGACTGACTTGCTCGGCCAGCCCTCCCCTCACCACGGCCTCCCCCCGCCGGGAGTCCCGACACAGCAGCCAAAGAGCGCGCGAAGCAAGCGGCTCGATTTACGCGAATCCTTTTGGCCTGATGCCAAAGGTGATTGCGGAGCAGGCCGGTTTCCGGGACTGAGGCACGCGCTCACGAAGCATTTCTGAATATTGCTCCGTATTCCGACGAGGGCTCTTCAAATCCTGCTGCTGTCAAAATCCAATTTACCCCCATTCGTTCCTTTCCTCTCTTTTGCGATAGCAGCAGCGAAATTCAATATTAGAAGAAGAGGGAGAGGAGGAAACTACCCTAGTATTGTGTATTGGACGCTGGTCATTCAGATGCATTCTGAAACAACAGTGATGTGCCACATTTGCCTTCAACAAGTGAAAAGGATTATAGGTCTATTTCTAGTGCATAAAACACAGGACACTCTTGACAACTTTTTTTTTTTTTGCCATATCCTTAAGGCACTGCCTTCATCTCACCTGGAGCTTATAACAAGCCAGCCTTAAGTCGTTCAGTTGTCCAAATTTTATATATAATAATGGAAATTGCACAATAAAAAAATAATTAATACCAAAAAAAGTTAGTAGTGCTCAAGGTGTTATTGAGGAACTGCTTAGAATCTTTCAGAGTGCTAATGGTATTTGTGACACAACTAGAATAAAGCCCTTCAGACATCTATTTGCTGAAAATGCCATTTGGGAAAAGGAAATCCCAAGCTGCAAAAACAATTACAATGGGAACATAGAATTTTATTTATCTATCAATCAAATTTCTAGCTACCCACCACACTTCTATGAATGCAGGAAACATGTACATAGGAACACTTGACAAAGTGAAAGATAAAACAAATTGATTCCATGCTGATATCTTAGTAAATGAAATGGACTAAAACTGGACACATACACACACAGCAAAAATGAAGAAAAGATATAACAAAAATAGTATTTGGGTATAATGCCACCAATGATCAAGTAATATCAATTAAACTTCATGAACAGCCAATTGATATAACAATTATCCAAAATTATGTTCCAACCACCAGTGCAGAAGTAGAGAAGGTTGACAAGTTTTATGATCAACTTCAATCTAAAATTGACAGAAAGCACAAGCAAGATGTGGCTTGTAGTTGGAAATTAGAATGCTAAAGTTGGAAATAGTAAAATGTAATTGGATTGTACAGTCTACGAAACAGAAACGAGGCAGGAGAATGACTCATTGCTAACACTATCTTCAAACAACCAAAACAACATTTATATAAAAGCAGGGGTGCGATTCAACCAGTGTAACAACCAGTTTGGTGAGTACACGTGCAGAGTGTTTGCTACTGAACTTCTCCAGCAATCTCTATGTGTTAAACAGCTGACGCTTGGCACTCCGCTGTGCTGCGCAAATCAGCTGACCTTGAAAACCAGGATATAAAGCACAGACTAGAGCCAGGGCAGGCGGGTGGGCCCAACAGCTGATCATCGGAGCGAACCAGTTCACTCACAGCTGATCCTCGGAGCTACCGGTTTCCCCGAACTGGGCCAAACCAGTAGAATCCCACCCCTGTATAAAAAGATATCTCCCTATCCCCCTTATTACTGGTAAAGGAGATAGAAGAGTTCAGTTACAATAGGAAAGCATGACCAGGAGATCAGTATAGATACATATCACAAATACTCATGTGTAAGTTCCAAGTCAAGTTAAAGCAGGATAAAGCCAACCAGTTTCCACAATGTGATCTTTATGTACATCCATCATTTTCAAGGAGAATCCTGAGTAATCACTTTGAAGTCCTGGATCTCACTGATAGGAGGAGGAAAAGAGGAACTGTAGAATGAGATCAAAAGAGTTGTTAAAAATGAATATGAAAAGAGAATACCAGAGAACAAGAAACAGAAGAAAGCAAATTGGATGTCAGAACATAATGGAATTTGCCAATATTAGATTAGATTAACAGAGTTGGAAGGGACCTTGTAGGCCATCTAGTCCAACCCTCCACCCAAGCAGGGGACCCTACACTATTTCTGACAAATGGCAATCCAATCTCTTCTTGAAAGCCTCCAGTGATGAAGCTCCTACAGCTTTTGAAGGCAAGCTATGAGATACCAAAGCCAAGAGGGAGAAAGATCCAGAAAAGGAAGCTAACAGCAAAGAATGGTAGGAAGAGACAGGAAGCAGGATTACAATGTTGTCTATAAAGTCATCAAAGATAGAAAGGTATGAAAAAACAAGGAAATCATCATTTTATTTATTTCTCACCTTTATTGTTTTTATAACTAATTCAAGGTAGTGAACGTAACTAACACTTCTTCTTTTCCACACAATAACAACAACCCTGTGAGGCTTAGGTACAAGTCACTCAGCCTGCTTTCATATCTAAGGCAGGACTAGAACTCAGTCTAGTCCTGGAGAAGGAAATGGCAACCCACTCCAGTATCTTTGCCATGAAAACCCCATGGACAGTACCAAAAGGCAAAAAGATATGACGCTAGAAGATGAGCCCCCCAGGTCAGAAGGTGTCCAATATGCTACTGGGGAAGAGCAGAGGGCTAATACTAGTAGCGTCAGAAAGAGTGAAGAGACTGGGTCAAAGCCGAAAGGATGCTCAGCTGTAGATGTATCTGGTGGTGAAAGGAAAGTCCGATGCTGTAAAGATCTGTACTCCATAGGAATCTGGAATATAAGATCCATGAATCGAGGCAAGCTGGACGTGGTCAAACAAGAGATGACAAGACTGAACATCGACATCTTGGCAATCAGCGAACTAAAATGGACAGAAATGGGTGAACTGAATTCAGATGACCATCAGATATACTACTGTGGGCAAGAATCCCTCAGAAAAACTGGAGTAGCCTTCATAGTCAATAAAAAAGTAGGAAAAGCAGTACTGGGATACAATCTCCGAAATGACAGAATGATCTCAGTTCGAATCCAAGGCAAACCTCACATTACAGTAATCCAAGTCTATGCCCCAATCACTGGTGCTGAAGAGGATGAAGTTTACTGGTTCTATGAAGCCCTACAACACCTTCAAAATGATGTCCTTATCATCATGGGACATTGGAATGCTAAAGTAGGAAGCCAAAAGATATTTGGAATAACAGGCAAGTTTGGCCTTGGAGTACAAAATGAAGAAGGGCACAGGCTGATAGAATTTTGTCAAGAGAATACGATGGTCATAGCAAACACTCTTTTCCAACAACCCAAGAGACAACTGTACACCTGGACATCATCAGATGGTCAACACAGGAATCAGATTGACTATGTGCTCTGCAGCCAAAATGGAGAAGTTCTATACCTGTGATGGTGAACCTATGGCATGTGTGCCGGAAGTGGCATGCAGAGCCATCTGCCAGCATGCGAGCCGTTGCCCCAGTGGTTTCACTGCACATGCGCGCCTGCCTCCCACCAGCCAAATGATTGTTGGGTATCTGCCGTGCATGCGCTGGGCGGGATGCATGCGGGAGACACACATGCATGCACAGGGGGCAGGGGGAGTGCAAGGGGGTTGTGTGCGCATGCGCGGGGGGTGGGAGAGCACGGGGGTGCACACATGCACAGGGGGATGGGGGAACGCAGGAGGTTGTGTGCACATGCGCAGGGGGCGGGCAAGCACAGGGGAGTCACGCATGCGTGCATTGCATTATGGGTGAAGGCATGCATATGCATGCACACATACTTTCGGCACACAACAACGAAAAGGTTAGCTATCACTGTTATATAGTCAGTAAAAACAAGACCAGGAGCTGATTGTGGCTCGGATTATGAGTTTCTCATTGCAAAATTTAGGCTTAAATTGAAGAAAGTAGGGAAAAACACTCGGCCAGTCAGGTATGAACTAAATCATATCCCTGATAAATATCCAATAGAGGTGACAAATAGATTTAAGGAATTAGATCTGATAGAAAGAGTGCTGAAGAACTATGGAAGGAAGTTCGCAACATTGTACAAGAGGTAGCAACTAAAACCATCCCAAAGAAAAAGAAATGCAAGAAAACAAAATGACTGTCTGAGGAAGCTGAGGAAAGAAGGGAAGTGAGAGGCAAGGGAGAAACAGAAAGATATACCCAACTGAATGCAGAATTCCAGAGAATAGCTAGAAAAAATAAGAATGCCTTCTTAAATGAACAGTGCAAAGAAGTAGAAGAAAACAATAGAATATGGAGGACCAGAGATCTCTTCAAGAAAATTGGAGATATGACGGGAACGTTTCATGCAAGATGGGCATGATAGAGGACCAAAATGGCAGAGACCTAACAGAGGCAGAAGAGATTACGAAGATATGGCAAAATTACACAGAACTATACAAGAACGAGCTTAATGTCCCTGATAACCATGATGGGATAGTCACTGACCTCAAGCCAGACATCCTGTAATGTGAAGTCTGAGCAACAAAAAAGCTAGTGGAGGTGACAGTATTCCAGCTGAGCTATTCAAAATCTTAAAAAGATGATGCAGTAAAAGTGCTACACTCAATATGCCAGCAAATTTGGAAAGCTCAACAGTGGCCACAGGATTGGAAAAGGTCAGTTTACATTCCAATTCCAAAGAAGGGCAATGCCAAAGAATGTTCAAACTACCACACCATTCTTCTCATTTCACACGCTACCAAAGTTTTGCTCAAAATTCTACAAGGTAGGTTCCAACAGTATGTGGACCGAGAAGTACCAGAAGTATAGGTAGGATTCAAAAAAGAGGCAGAGGAACTAGAGATCAAATTGCCAACATTCACTGGATCATGGAAAAAGCTAGGGAGTTGCAGAAAAACATCTACTTCTGCTTCATTGAATATGCTAAAGCCTTTGTTGGATCACAAAAAATTGTGGCAAGTTCTTAAAAAGATGGGAGTACCAGACCTTCTTATTTGTTTCTTGAGAAACCTATATGTGGGTAAAGAAGCAACAGTGAGAACTGGACACTGAACCACTGATTGGTTCAAAATTGAGAAAAGAACTCGGCAAGGCTGTATACTGTTGCCCT